TGTCTCAAATTTCCTCCTGGGGAAACGTCGCGTTATTTTATAATACACTACTAAGATTCACTATGTTGTATGTGCTGCAGGCGCGCTTGTTTCACGAATGGCGCTAGGGCTTTGGTTATAAAGCAATAACTACGACTATAGACTTAAGACGCGTGTCGAGTTGGACTCATCGACGGTCTTATTTGTTATTTGTTATTTGAAACAAATATTGTAGGAGTATCACTTGTCCATTGTCTCAAATTGTGATCCTCATCGTCATTTCATTCAGTACGTACCGCGTGACAAAAGCCGCGATATGACCGCACGGCGGGTCCACAACGTGAAGCAAATTATTACCGATTAACAATTAAATTGTAGGTCTACAACCTACCAGGACGCGCGCCGAGTTGGACTGTGTGTAATATATGGAACAAATATTTTACGAGTATCACCCGTTAACAATTAAAGAGCTGCAAAATATTGCGCGCCGGGTCAATCCATTAACAATTGACGATGGACAGCAAATTTTCAATCTCAATTTTTCTTTTTCCACTTTTTCACCAAGGCCAACCAAAAAGCTAAGTCACCCTGGCGCGCAGCGCGAGCTTCATAATGCAATATTACGTGCAGAAACACAACAATTTTTGTTCAAAATTTCGTCAGGGGATTGATTGTTATTATATTTCAATTTTGGTTACAAACATTTTGAAAATTTTGAAAAATGCCAGCTGTGTTCTTCAAACGATTTTGAAATGACATAAAAGCTAACTGACAATGTCAATCTTTTGCAGCTCGGCGTGGCTCCGTGGTGCATCTTGCCGATCTAATAAAGGTGTGGTTGCGAGAAACATCATTGAATGCGCGGCGCGGCCCAGTAGTTCATCGCGCTACAAGTATAAATACAAAATGCAGTGATCATCCAAACATTAGTGAAGGTCATTGCATGTTGAACTCAAATCAAAACTCCATGGTCAATGGTTATGGTAAAGCATACAGCATCAATTAAGCTTGTCATACGTTGTATGACCCGCCGCGCACGAAGTGCGCGGCTCGCCCTGTATCGTCAGGACGATAGTGAAACGACCGTGCGCAGTGGAGGTCACAACGTGATACAAAATTAAGCATAGTCTATCGGGGTTTTAAATTTTTGACACGACTTTGTAGGTTTGTAACCTACCAAACGCACGCCGGGTTGGACTCGTCGACGGTCTTGTCGTCGACGGTCTTGTCGTCGACGGTCTTGTCACTTGTCGTCGACGGTCTTGTCGTCGACGGTCTTGTCGTCGACGGTTTTGTCGTCGACGGTCTTGTCGTCGACGGTCTAATATTTGAAACAAATATTTTACGAGTATCACCCGTTAAACACGACTGCACTCTTTCGTGTTTCGCGCACGCAGTCGTCTCACGTCGCAAAATTTAATTTTCGTGGTTATTCGCTGAAAATAATTATGCTCTATGCATGTGAACGACCCCTAACATGTAATGAAGTTTATTTTCCAAGTCGTGCGATTTCTATGTTCAATGGATTGTATTTTGAAGTGATGATATTACATAGTTTCGTTAATTTCGATATATAGTCTGAGGATGGATGTGATGTTGTCAAAGTAGTTTCATTTCTATACTACAACTTAATTGTTGATATGTTATACTGCTGCTATAAGAAGCGTTTCTTACCATTCTCCACTAAAATTTAAAAGCCCCACTTCTAGTTACAATAACAACCGAGAAACGCATCTCAGCCTTGCGACATTCAGTCTTCTGAAGGTCGTTTGTGTAAAGGATGAAGAGGGTAAGCCCCAGTGGCATAGCGAAGGGCCCCGCTGACCCTGCTGTATGGGGGCGGGGGGGGGCATCGAAGGGAAAAGGTAAGCCCTTGCCATTAGAGGCTCCAAAAAGGAGTATAAGCAGCTTTTACCCAATTCATTGTACGGGTTTCCCATTTACACCATACCATAGCATAGTACTTGAGAAGTTTGTCTAACAGAATTTCATGAATTCTGTTAGCATACATATTTCGAGCCTTGATCTCCTTGTTATGTTGTTAATAGCATCCTAATAAGAATTACAAAATGTCTGTATGGTAATTTTGACAAACCAACTTGGTTGATTTAAAAAAATTTAACACTTATTTTACTTTGGACATTCCACAGCCATATTAGTTACACTGGTGTAACCAGCCAATTACAGGAAACCAAAGGATTCAATCATACTTTAGGTCAGTGACGGTTAAGGTAGTGTGTACTTTCTTCACCCAAGACTTCACTGTAATGGGCAGCTCCTCATTTAACCCTCGCACCCCCGATTTCTTGAGCATTCGACTGAGTGGATCGGGGGGGGGGGGGCTGCATAGACTACTCAGGATCCTTTGCTGAGCATTGATGACGCTCACCCCACGGCTAGTGGCAGAGCAGAGAATCGAACCTGGTACCTCGAGAAATGCGAGACCGATTTACCAACTGAGGTCTGAGCCACTAAGCCATTTTATAGAATAACAGTTTTAATATTCAATAATGAGGCTGTAATCAATTTGTAGCCAATTGGATTAGTTTTAGTGACAAAGGGATCTTTCATATATTACCATATGATATGTTGGATTATAAGGAATTTAGTAATAAGGGAAAAAGGAGTTATGATAACCATCTATAAAGCTTTAATAAGACCTCATCTAGAGTATTGTGTCCAATTGTGGAATCCAGTTGCGGCTCATGGAAGTTGGGGGATTGTTTTGGAGCTGGAGAGCGTCCAGAGGCGGTTTACCCGTCTTATTAATGAGTTGGGTACTCTTCCTTACAGCTGTAGACTGGAAATTCTCAATTTGACATCGCTGGCAGAGCGGCGAATACGTGGGGACCTTATTGAAGCTTTAAAGGTAATTAATGGTTTGACCGAGTACGGCTCAGATTTGTTCAAAGTGAGCAGATCTGGTCTTAATCTTGTATCATTCAACAGATGTTGTAAGAGTATGGCAAAGATTAGGAATCTCTAAAGTTCATTTCTTCCAGAGCGAGTTATTCCTTACTGGAACAAACTCCCTCCAGATGTTAAGAACTCGGTGACTGTTTTAAGTTTTAAGATTAAATTAGAAGGGTTTAGGAAAGATATGATTTCTAAGGATATTTCTAATGATTCACATTTTTGGAATGTTTCAAATGAAGTATTAGGGAGAATTGAAGGACCTAGCTATGTTAGTAATAAAGAGAAGCATAACGATCATCTTTATTTCCACTCTTTTGTGGCAAAAAAGCGATTTATAAATCTTTATTCCACTGGGAAGTATGAATAGGGTTATATTTTGGGGATGCTTTTTGAATTTATTTTAAAAAATTTTTTAAATAAAGTTGTAGTTAATAATTTATTAATTTTGGTGGTAAGATATTTATATTTTTCCATATAGTGATTTGATACTTTGTAGACATGTGTGATGATGTTATGTCATAATTTTTACTTTACTTTACTTTACTTTAAAACCAAATTTGGATCATGTCCTTGGATTATTTTACACTTTTGAATACGTTTACATTTGCATAGCTCTCTTATCTAATATTTCTATTTGAGATAAGACTGGCTCATCACTGTGTGCGTGTAATTGTTCGACGGATTTTTACACACTATACACAATACAAGTACACGGAATCTGTAAACTATGTCAACTGTCATTCCAAATTTCGATGAAAAGATACGGCTTATTATTGGTAATCTTTTGAGTAAAGCAGATCCACTTTCCAAAACACTCCTGACTGCTTTTGACTCGTCTAAAGATGTGTCCGATAATCAGACTGTACTCGGTGGGCCCCGTTTTCAGTTAGCTACATTGAACGCTTGTGCTCTTTTTCTCAACATCAAAACCGAGGAGCCTAAAGGCAACCGTATATTTTCAAATAAGCCTTCACTTGCCAAGAGAATCATACTCGAGATTCAGTCACTGTACCCTGCCATCTGTCCGGATTGTGATATCGAATACTCGACTCAGTTTGATTCTGTTACAAAACCTGCCGCATGTTGCTTTCTTTGTTTGCAAGGCTGCCATGATTGTGATTCTTTTGAACCACGTGTGTCTTCAGCTACTTCTGTTTGGCTTTGCAAAGCATGTTATGAAACCAACATATCAAATCAGTCAAAGGCGAAATCCAAGGCCCCTAGTAAATTGGCCTCTAAACAGCAATCTGGTGCAAACACTCCATCTTCCCAGAACCAGAAAAAACAACATGTCTCCCTTGATCAAGATGAGCTTCAGAAAAAGCTTTCAATCGTCAAATCACAGGAAGATGAACAACATTCAGTAAATGACGATAAATCGCAGCTGCCCAATTTACGGCTTGATGAGATCTGCAGCTTGCTAAAACTTGGAAAATGCCCACACGGTGTCAGTGGTAAAACGCCAAGTAATGATCAATCAGCATGCAAAATGTTCCACCCTCCACGCTGCTCTAAGTTCATTAAAAATAGTACCCACAGAAAGTTTGGCTGTAGGCGTGGTGATAAATGCAAATTTTTTCATCCCCAACACTGTCCAACATCCTTGTCTGATAAGTCTTGTTACGATGAGGAATGCTTATTAGTTCACACTGTTGGTACTAAACGACACAAACCCAAGGAGCGTGATTCCTACAGAAGAGACATCTCTGATAACAGAACTTCCAATGATCAGAAAAATAAAGAGAATAACAACAATAAAAGGACGCGCTCTTCTTCTCAGTCTCATACTAAGTCAACACCCCATCATGAGAACAAGGATTTTTTAGAGATTCGATCCCTTCTGACGAACTTCCAGACCACTTTTCAGAAAGAGATCGAAAACATAAAATCCAGTATTGTGACTCAGGAGAACAGAATTGCCTCGCTCTTCCCCAGTGCCAACCAGCACATCATCAGGCAGTTCGTCCCTCACGGTCCTCCAAGCCAGAACATCATGTTCCAACATCCTGTTCCCCAGTTCCAACCGCAGAGTCGTTTTCCTCCTCCCCAAGCGAACTGGTCGAACATTCTAGCATCTGGCTGCTAAACATTCAATCATTTAACCCTAGCGCCCATAGCACCTCCAGATGGAAAGCCTCTTACCTTGAAGACGAATTAAGAAAGGAACAAGCCAAGAACCACACTGTTCCATTAATCGCCTTAACAGAGACATGGCTTAAGTCTTACATTGAGGATGCTCAACTTGAAATTCCGGGTTACTCTCTGTTCAGAAGTGATAGAGAAGCTAGGGTTGGAGGTGGAGTTTTACTTTATACACATGATGAACTCCCCATAACTAACGTCCAGACATATGATGATAGATACTGTCAGGCTTTGATGTGTACCAGCGAATCTGAAAAGTCAATCATTTGTGTTCTATATCGCCCGCCCGAGTGTCCAGTTCCCAGTTTTAAATCATGTTTGGACTTCATTGACCAGTACATTGCCAGTGGCGATGGCGAATACCGGCTATCACTTCTTGGAGACTTTAATATTCCCCTCATTGGCTGGTCCACTAATTCTATCTTACCCGGTGGTTCCTCATGTTCAACTTACAGTGCAGCTCTTTTACTTGACTTCATGTCTGAGAATCTATGTACTCAACATGTGCTGGAACCCACCCGACTCAGAAATGTATTAGATCTGTACATTTCAAACTCAGAGGATCTAGTTTCTCACGTCTCTATTTCGGACACTCCACTATCAGATCACAGACGTGTAGAGATATTTTTGTCTTACAATCCTTGTTCTCCTACTCATTCAGATCCTCCGGATTTCATTGATTCTTCGTTTAGAAGCTTAGACTTTAATAAAGCAGATTTTTCATCGATCAATGACATGCTCTCATCTGTTGACTGGGCTCAACTCATCAACCTTTGCGACAAAGAGGATTTTCCAGAGCTATTCACTCTTATTACTCTACAAATCTGCCAGATTGGCTGTCCGAAGAAGATCCCTCCCAAAACCCAAACTCGCTCATCTGTGCGCATCCCCTCTCGCAGAAAACGAAAGCTTCAAACCCAGCTAGAGGCTGCAAAAATTAATCCTCATAGCCCTCCCACACAGATTGAATCTTTGAACCGGAAACTTGCTCTCGCTCATATGGATATTCGTGATGCCATCAACCAGGATCTCCTGTACCGTGAACAGCAAGCCGTAAGCAAGGTAAAAGAAAATCCCAAGTATTTCTATAGTTACGCTAAGAAATTTTCGAAGAAGAAAAGCAACATCAGCATGCTTTTTGATGGAAACGGTGCCATCAAATCAAATCCAAAAGATATTGCCAACCTCTTGCAGAATCAGTTCTTGTCAGTATTCAGTGATCCTTCGAAAACTCGGATCGACTCTGCTTCTTTCAGTCCCCCTCCAATCAAGCATCCTTTTACTGACGATATGCTGAATTTCTCCGTGGACGACATCATTAAGGCCATTGAAGACATCAAACCTAATGCTGCATCAGGTCCTGACGAAATTCCAGTCACCCTTCTCAAGAACTGCAAGAAAGCCCTAGCAGAACCAATGCACATCATCTGGTCCCGCTCTTTAGTTACTGGGGAGGTCCCTAGTTTCTATAAGTTCTCACACGTATTTCCTCTCCACAAGAAGGATAGTCGAGCCAAACCAGCTAACTACCGACCTATATCACTCACCTCTCATGTGGTTAAAGTATACGAGAGGGTGATAAGAAAAAAGCTGGTAAACTATTTGGAGATCAACAACCTCATATGTAGTAAGCAGCACGGATTTAGATCTGGCCGGAGTTGCCTTACTCAACTTCTCCACCATTTTGATGACGTTTTGGATTCTCTGAGCAACAATTCAGATTTTGATTCAATATACCTCGACTATGCCAAGGCTTTCGATAAAGTCGATCACAAACTCCTACTGAGAAAGCTCCAACTCTATGGAATCCATCCTAAAATCATAAAGTGGATAGAATCTTTCCTCTCAGACCGGAAACAAGCAGTTGTTGTTGACGGTCATCTGTCCATCCTTGCACTGATAATCAGCGGAGTTCCACAAGGTACTGTTTTGGGGCCGATCCTTTTCTTGATTTTTATCAATGATATCGAACATTGTATCATGCACTCTATAATTCGATGTTTTGCTGATGACACTCGCATATCCATTGCTATCAAATCGGAGCATGACGTCAAGCTCCTCCAAGAAGATCTGCAAAATGTCATTGACTGGTCTGAAAGAAATAATATGGCCCTTCACAAAGACAAATTTGAGTACATGTGTCATAAATTCAACCACCAATATGTACTATCTGAACTTCCATTTGTGGTTGAACACTATCAATACTCAGTTTCCAAAGACACTATACTTGAGCCAATACATCAGCTCAGGGATTTAGGCGTCATAGTGTCAAGTGATCTCTCTTGGTCCCCTCACATACGAGCCATTGCAGATAAAGCTCGCCAAAAAGCATCATGGGTTCTCAGTGTATTTCACACACGATCTCACTCCATCATGCTGACGCTATACAAATCAATGGTTCGAAGTCTGATTGAATATTGCTGTCCATTATGGCATCCCTCAAAAATCAGCGATATCCAAGAACTGGAGAGTGTACAGAAAGCATTCACCGCCAGAATATCAGGAATGCGCGATCTCCACTACTGGGATCGCCTGGTCTATCTATCTCTGATGTCTCTTCAACGAAGGCGGGAGCGATTCATCATTCTCCATATGTGGAAAATCCTCCACGGAAAGACCAGCAATGATCTGAACGTTCTATTTGTTTCACGCCCAAGGCTTGGAAACCTTGCAGTAATTCCATCAAAACGTAGAACCAGTTCAACAGCAAACCTCACCTTGTTTGACAACTCATTTGCAGTTCAGGGACCTAAATTGTGGAATGCAATCCCCTACCATCTGAATGTCATTCAAGATCTAGAGCACTTCAAAGATAAGCTCACAAAGTTCATGTTGTCTCTCCCTGATAAGCCGCCGATCAGGGGATATACTCCTCCAAATACGAACTCTCTGCTGTGCTGGCGCAACGAGCGAGACTCTACTTCGCTATGGGGTGGTCAGAAGATGTGATGGCCCCGTCAAGTCTTGACGAAACTCAACATAGGTCACATAGGTAGGTCACATGTCCTTCAATGTCACCAACATGGCCATATTGACCAATATTGGACGACTTTAACACATTGGTCACAGTAAACTTTAGAAGATAATGGCTCTTTGCTTCATATCATTGCCTTATTGAAAACCTCAAAACTATACGCTGTTTTTATTTTTAAATAGTAAATAATATATGCTCAACTAGGCAATACTCTGTAGAAACTTAACTAGGGTTTGTTCACATTAACCAGGTATTGCAGGGAGTTGTTCGAGGGATTTCGAAAACTTGCCCTGATTAAACTAAAAGAGTCGTTCACATATAATTTTTGGCAATTCTTACCCCCTCCGTAATCAACCATAATAAAGACCCAACACCCCCTTCTCCTATCAGTATTACGAAATGAAGACCTGACCCTCCCCAACCCCCCCCCCTCCCTCATCTGATTACGTAATATATGTGAACAACCCTTATCAGCTAATTAGTAATTAAATTTGATTGTTGATTTTATCAGCCTTTATTTAAATAGCAGCACCATGAGCAAGAAACAGACAGCGAAAGAGGAGAGTCCTCTGAAGTCTTACGCACTCATGATAACATCTACAGACATTATGTTCCAGAAAATCAGTGAATCTCTCACTGCATCAGGTTAATAACTTCTGCAAAGTGTTATTAGCGTTAAAAGATACACCAAGGATATTGTTAGTACAGGATGTACTTTTTGAATAACTTATCCATTTGTCTAAGCTTCATTCTGTATAAAAAGTTAAGTGTTTAAGTTAAAATATGCATCAAGGTAATTACAACATTGTGCACTGTGCACTGGTACGTGGGTATTCAGATACATGCTGCCATTGTATCAAATACAAAGGGTTACGCTTAATAAATTATATACATCGCTCTATACATCACAGCCCCCCTGTAGCTGATCTTACTATACTAGTATTCAAATTGCAGGGAGCTACATAGAATATAGATCCCTTTCTCGTATTACTGTGAAATATAATATCACAATAGAGGTAGATCCTTGCAAAGTTCTGTTAATTCCAGCATTAAGTAGAATAGATACTGTAGCTTGGCTAAACTAATTGATTTAAATCACATTGTTGGCATTGTATGTTGAAATTGAATCAGGGGTGAACAATGACAGAAGTTGCAGAGGGTCCCCAATGTCCCTGTGTAAACATTGGGGACACAATACAAGTCAAATAAGAACAGGGGTAATAAGAGGTTCACACGTGACACAAACTAACCAATCAGAACACATTATTCACACCACGTGTACTCTTGCTAACTCTCAGCACCATTTCAGCAACATCAGCGTCAGCGGCTCGTGATAAGGCGGACAGTTTTAACATATGTCTCTCTGAGTACTCTGTGAAGGAAAATAAGGCAATCAGAGGAGAACTTGTGGATTATTGTGAGTGTTTGAAGGCTGTGGAGGACAAGAAGCAACAAACTATTGAAACTATTACAGTAAGTGTTTTCAGGGGCCATTTAACTAATTATTTAGAATGATATAACACGTAATCCGTTTAATCCCGACTCCAATCTTTTAGATGTTCAAGGTTATACAAGAGGTTTATTTGCGTGCTATTAAAGAAATCTGTTTTGTAAAAGTTAGGTCTGCCAGTTGTTTTTACAATCTCGCTCACAATCGCTCCTCAAGATCTGCATAATTCTTGTATAATTCTATTGTTTGTGTAATTTTCAATCTAAACAGTTTTAACTTAGAATCACTATACAATTTTGTCCCGATTAGATACGATATGATAAGCAAAATTACCGGCAATTTTAATGGTGACTGTGATTTATTTCATTGACTGTGGCAGAAATACGTTACAGAAGTCGGAAATCAGTTGATATAAAGTATAATTTTGAAGACCAGCTCACTCAATATTATCAGAGTTAACTATCTTAGCATTTATCACAGTCACTATCAGACACAATATTAGCTCATCCACAGAGCTTAATGAGGAGCATGCCTAACATAGCAGTTAACATAACTCATTCCAGTAGGAGTAACATCAAACAATGTGCAAATTCCTCGAGCCAGGAAAATACACTCAAATTATCAGCCTGATATTTCTAATTAGCTCTCACAGTATGAGCTCTACTGAGAATTAAAATATTTCATTTTCCGTGCAAGCAATTACACTAATTATCAAAAAGGTTCTTTGTAATAGTGATATATCATTTAGGTACTATAGTTATATAATATAGATTATAAACAATTATCAGCTTTTATGTCTGCACGGGATATTTTGAAAAAAACTCATTCAGTAGTTGGTAGAATGTTACGAATATTTAGCTCTCTGCAACAACTACTGCGAAAGTGCGATAATAACGGTAATTATAGAGTTTAATTCCTATTAATTATGACATGACGTTATTTTCAGGAGAAGTTGAAACCGGCCTGTGACCGGTGGAAAGCAATCTGCAGTGAAGTACACTCCGCTCTGAAAACTTTATGTTTAGCGCGTGATAAAGATGTTGCAGCCGTGAGAAAACTTGAGAAAACGAAATGTAAAGAGGGGAGCAAGAAAGCAGAGCAGGTGGCACTGGATCTGGCTAACAAACAAACAGAGGTTAGAGCTTCTTATATACTGGGTCTGAGATGCGGTATAATATTAATAGAGCATATTATCTTTAATACTTATAAATAGAGGCTAATAGTTTGCTAATTAACTAATGGTTTGCTAATTAATGTTTCAGTTAGCAACAAAGAACGCAGAAATATTGGCGCTAATGCAGCAGTTTCACACTCAGAAACTGAACGATTACAAGGCAGTACTTTCTACTTATGCACAGGTTCAGATGCTTTATCACTCGCGAGCTTTAGAGTTCTACACGCGGGGCTATCAGGTGTGTTTCATTAAATAGCATGTTTTATTTAATTGTAAAATGTAAACCTAATAATTTTATTTGAGCTGCAAAGGAATCCCTCCAATTACTCATCATATCTGGTGTTTCGGTGTACCTAATTTTGTTTACACTCAGACTGAGTGTAAACTGAGTGACTTGTCGAGTCACTTGTCAAGGCACGACAGGTCTTTCGGCTAATTTTCTTTGTAATGAAATTATGCACTACTTTCTGTAACAATTTGAAAGTTTATTGATAAAAAGTAATTGGACGCTTGGTTTCCATCCAATGAAACCCAGTACTGCGAGTTGTATCATATCAGCACATCGAGCTAAAAAGATAATTTGAATGTTCAAGGTATTTGTTGAGCGTTGAAGGTACCTTAAGTCATGAGTAGGTATCTAAGTTCGTATAGTTAGCCGAATAACTTGTTGAAAATATAGTGCAGTAAATGTCATGGAATGTGGATACCGGATATACCATTAATTATAGTGGTAGAAAGCTGAAACCTCTCTTATAAATCTTAACTTTTCTCATGATCGAGCGTTCTCTTGATGTTCTGCCTTCCCAAATATCCCAAGTTTCCATCAACCTTCAGAAAACATGGATTTTTGGGTCAAACTGAAGAATAACCCAGTGGCGCATCTCAACAAGTAGAACTGAGAAAAACAATTCAAAACATGAAGACACTAAAACTTCGCACTCATCTAATGTGACAGCTACACTGTTACTACTTCTTAACCTTCACTGTTTCCTTTTTTCTAGATAGACATAGTTTAGTTCAGGGGATCTTTCACATGTTACATAAGAGAGCTTACTACAGTTGTGTAAAATGGCTTGCGGAGGGACAGGAGAGGGCCTGGGTCTAGAGTGGCCAAATTCGACTTAACTAATATGTGAACAATCTCTATGGTAGAAGAATGTTCCCACGAAGGAATCATTATATCATGACCGGATGACAATTATAGCATATTTACATGTAAACAAGAGGTCACGTGTACACTGTTCACATTTAGTGTGTACGATCCTCTGTATAGTGTATATGTGCATTAAACTGGTTAGTGGGCCTTATTAAAATCAAACTCTCATAACTAAGCTGTGATACGCTGCTAACATCTACCTGTAAATTAGCTAATTAAGTATCCAGGGCCTGTTTAAGAGCCAGTCATGAAGCACCATGTCACATTAGTTGCATTCCTTACATTATCAATCTGAAATTTAACCCTCCCTCACTCACTCTATTTAAATAATGATATCACAGATGTTTTATAATGTGATAATATGAACTTGTTTTCAGGATATGATGGATATTCAAGATGATGAGTATATAGAGACAGTACTTAACGAAACCACGCCGGCAGGACTGTGTTTATCACAATCAGTTCCACAACACATGAACACCAGTTACTCTGGCGGCACTCCTAATCAGAGCCAGGAACAGTTAAACATGACCAAATAATTGATTGTTAATTAATTGACTTATAATTGGCGGATTGATTGTATTATTTGCTAATTGATTTATTTACACTGTTAAATTAATATTCCTGTCACACAGCTTCTATAGGGAGTTGTAAGGAAAAGCTTTGTAGGTACTGTTTAGATATTAGGTTTAATATTAATAACATCTGGAAAGAAAGAGAGAGAGTTGTTGATACAATGCATGTTTTATATCTTACAGGAGTTTTTCTTGTAGTGGTATACATATTATTGTCCGCCCCTTCGTTTTTATCGTATAACAGGATGGTTTTTGAAACTTTGCCAAATAGCGAGTAAATACGGTGTTGACTTCTTATTTTATGACTGCATATATTTTTATTTGAATCATTAATACGTTAGATTAGTTTATTAGAGGTTTATTTTTTGCTTTTTTGGAGCCCAAACTGTATTTAAATATATTATTGCATTGTAACGTTACATTTATTATCGTTTTATAGTATTTTTGAGGATGTGCCTGTGCCGTTTTGTTTCATGTAGATTGAGTTACCGTAGTCAGATAGTTGTATGCTATATTTAAATGGTGTTATGTGCTATTTATTTGTACACATTAAGTCAAGCACTTTCTTCTAGGTTTCGGACAAAACTTTAACACTTACGTTCTTATTTCAAGCAGTACTCTTTAGAATTCAGAATATTGTTGACACGATATCAGTTTTGAAAAAGAATGCAATCTAAGAACTAAGTGACTCTATCTCTATTATCTTGGGGACTACGGTAACTCATTTTGTGCATGCAGTTTGTGAATGTGTTGATTTATTCAAAATTTTAATAGCTAGCTGTAAAAAGGTCTCTTTGCTTTGCCCAAGTTTTCCCAAGGTCAGTTAATCTAATTTCCTCATACTACTGTTATCTTAATCTACTCAAACTTTGACCGTGTGATGGGTCTATAAATAGGCTGCAGCTGATGTTGCATTTTATTGGGTGCTATCAACAGGATTTAATTTCACAGAGCCCGAGTGTGGGGCCATTGTCACAACCTCTAATATATGGACAGTCAGAGAGTTCTTTTATCAATGTAACATTGTGGAGATTGTATTAAAAGTTAGCTCTCTAAGGTCATAATTCTCTATGACTACAGGTAAGCACGAGATTGCAGTTGTATTGACACTGAAATAATCTTTTACAATTTTGATTTCGTCCATCGCTGATGATATAGGTAAGTATGATAATATGGTAACTTGGAAAACAACAGACGTTTAAATTGTTGAGTATGAAACACGCGAGATATAGAACTGTGTACTTTTTTCAGTGTCAACAGCTAGTACGGGATACGCGCGCTGCCGTCTGCGCGGGTGGACTGTTCGTAATATTTAATTTACTGGGCGATCATATTTGATTCTTGTAGCGCGATGCACTACTGGGTCGCGCGCGCATCAATAATCAAGCATCAAATAATGCTTCTCGCAACCACGTATGCAGATCGGCGAGATGCGAAGGTGGAAGGATTGACATCGTGAATCAATTTGATTCACGATGTCAATCCTTCGCATCTCGCCGATCTTGGATCTGTGGTTGCGAGAAGCATTATTGGATGCGCGCGCGACCCAGTAGTGCATCGCGCTACAACGATCATACATATGATTGTATTATAATAACAGATTCCGCCGCATAGCAGCTCCAATCTGTTAATATGAACAGAAAAAGCTGGAGTTCTTCATATCAGGTAAGTTATTATTTAAATTGGCAATATTGGCCGCACGGCCTGGCTTCGATCCCACCCTGATGTTGGAAGGCGCTCGTGACTATTTTTCAGGGGGTCCAACCTGAATTTATTGTGAAACCTGCTTTCAAGATAGCATGGCAGTTGATCAACAAACCAGAAATCATGACGGAACTTAATTATTAGAGGGGTCGCGGACTCCATGCATACCATATCATTTAGTCTATTTTTGGCTCAATCATACCAAATCACCTCAACATGCCCAAAACCCAGATTTTGGCTGCTTAACTTGTACATTTGACATTTTAACTAGTTTCTTGAACATGTATAGAAAAAGGCTTAGTTGGCCAAAAACCAAATGCCAATATTTGGGCACACGCACATACAGATAACAAGTGAAAAGATTGGTAATAATATAATTCAGGCGGAGGTTGACAACGAATTAAAAATGCAATTGTTTTTTAGCAGTAGTAATCTTATTATCTGTTACTGTCCTATTTTAAAATCACTAGACCAAATCTTTTACTACAAAAAACTGATTGAGCATCGCTTTTGGCTTTGCGATAAGTTTATTTTACGAATGAATTATTTTCCATTTTTCCAAATTACCCAGTGAACACAATGTACAAAATAATTTAAATGATCAACTCCTGACTCCTATTAACAATCCATGTAGTCTCAATGACAATAGTTTTATCTTTATTCGATATCTTCTGGGCGCTTGAGGTTCTTGTAACGATCCTTAAATCCGTCTCTCATTGTGGGGGTCACGTTCCAAGGCATCTGAAGTGCAGAAAATTAGTTTAAAATATTATGTCTGAATAATCAGGTTAACAGCACCAGCAGTTATGTTATCAATCTAACAAGCAGCTTCTTGTGTTACCATCCTCTTTTCAATCTTATGTTCTACAGATGTATGATAAAACACATAGTTTAGCTGTGCAATTCGTGTAATATTAAGAGGCAGTAAAACTATTAATATTGTTATATAGTAGTGCTGAAGGTATTAATAGTATTCATTTGTTATTTTTCTGTGGCCTCTGCCTCAGCTACATACGGAGATGGTCAAGTCCTCGATCGACGCGCGCATGTAAGACGCGCAAATGCAGTAGGTCTACATAAATTGTGATTTGTACTACAGATTCAATGTCGCCGCAGCGAGAAACTTGTCGAAACTCATCATCATTCTAGACTTTTCATAAAAGAGTGCTGGAAGGTGCCGGGTCTCATTATATTTTACTTTTGAATAAATCAATAATAAAGAAGAGCGTAGAATGTCTACACACTACATCGATATCGATGCCCATGATGCTGAGGAATACAATGGGGTTGATCATGAATATAACGAAAGATTTGATGATTCGGTCAACCGAATATAGTCGGTGACTGATTATTTGATGATTCGGTAGACCGAATATATTCGGTGATTCGGTATTTGGTTACCGAATATTCAAAGATTTGGTCAACCGAATATATTCGATAATTCGGTGACCGAATATTCAAAGAGGCTGTAGGACTATTGAGCGGAGGACTGTTGAGCGTAGGACTGTAGGTCGGTGAAGGTCGGCAGTAGGACTGTAGAGCGGTGTCAAATCGCCAGGGTAGGACTCTAGAGCGGCCGCCCTTATAGATCTCACAACATGAGGACTTTAGAGCGGTACGATCCTAAAATGAGGACTGTAGAGCGGCAGTGGCGTAACATTGCCTGTTGGCGCCCCCCTGCCGAAAAAAGCGCCCCCCTGTTGGCGCCCCCTCCCCTTTTGGTGCCCCTCCCTAAAATTGAACAAGTTAGGTAATTTTAAAGAATACGCCGGTAAAATCTGTAAAAAAGTGTGTATCTAGAGCAAAACGCGCAGTTTTGCTAGTACTTTAGTTAAGTTTTCGAAATTGTCCCACATTCAAACGACGATTTGGCGCCCCCCTAAGACGGCGCCCCCCTGCACAGCGGGGTCAGCAGGGCCTTTCGTTACGCCACTGTAGAGCGGTGGACTGTTGAGCGGTGGACTGTAGGCCGGTGAAGGTCGGAAGTAGGACTGTAGAGCGGCCCTCCCTTATAGATCCCATAACATGAGGACTCTAGAGCGGTACCCTCCTATAACATGAGGACTCTATAGCGGTTGAAAATTTGAAGATTGAACACTCAACGAAGCTAAGTTATACATTGTAACTCGTGATTGATTATGGTCATGACATTCTAGGATGATAACTTTATTAAAGAGTCATGGAGTTAATGAACATTTTCATTTACTTATTATAAATATTTCATTACTAATATTATAGTGTAACTTAATTTAAGATTATTGGTCGGTCTCAACGTCTTCCAAATGATTGAAATATTCCCCTGCTACTCGAAAATGTAAAACGTGTCTTTGGTATTTTAGTGAACTGTTCGTATCAATGTGATTTCGCTAAGCAGAGTACCGATCAAGTTCGTGCAGATCATTTAGGAATGAGGATCGCATCGCGTGTCGCTTTAGCGCCTACTAAGGATATCTCATGTTCATCAATCTGGTGACGGGACTGATTCAGATCAGATCCCATCGAAGTGCGATATCTTGTTAGGATTTCAAAGGTATGGTATAAATATCACAGCAGTGGTGGACGGTTGCTACTTCCACTAAAATACCGAAGACACGTTTTACATTTTCGAGTAGCAGGGGAATATTTCAATCATTTGGAAGACGTTGAGACCGACCAATAATCTTAAATTAAGTTACACTATAATATTAGTAATGAAATATTTATAATAAGTAAATGAAAATGTTCATTAACTCCATGACTCTTTAATAAAGTTATCATCCTAGAATGTCATGACCATAATCAATCACGAGTTACAATGTATAACTTAGCTTCGTTGAGTGTTCAATCTTCAAATTTTCAACCGCTATAGAGTCCTCATGTTATAGGAGGGTACCGCTCTAGAGTCCTCATGTTATGGGATCTATAAGGGAGGGCCGCTCTACAGTCCTACTTCCGACCTTCACCGGCCTACAGTCCACCGCTCAACAGTCCACCGCTCTACAGTCCTCATTTTAGGATCGTATCGCTCTAAAGTCCTCATGTTGTGAGATCTATAAGGGTGGCCGCTCTAGAGTCCTACCCTGGCGATTTGACACCGCTCTACAGTCCTACTGCCGACCTTCACCGACCTACAGTCCTACGCTCAACAGTCCTCCGCTCAATAGTCCTACAGCCTCTTTGAATATTCGGTCACCGAATTATCGAATATATTCGGTTGACCAAATCTTTGAATATTCGGTAACCAAATACCGAATCACCGAATATATTCGGTCTACCGAATCATCAAATAATCAGTCACCGACTATATTCGGTTGACCGAATCTTTGAAGGGAGCAGGACTATTGAGCGGTGGACTGTTGAGCGTAGGACTGTAGGTCGGTGAAGGTCGGAAGTAGGACTGTAGAGCGGTGTCAAATCGCCAGGGTAGGACTCTAGAGCGGCCGCCCTTATAGATCTCACAACATGAGGACTTTAGAGCGGTACGATCCTAAAATGAGGACTGTAGAGCGGCAGTGGCGTAACATTGCCTGTTGGCGCCCCCCTGCCGAAAAAAGCGCCCCCCTGTTGGCGCCCCCTCCCCTTTTGGTGCCCCTCCCTAAAATTGAACAAGTTAGGTAATTTTAAAGAATACGCCGGTAAAATCTGTAAAAAAGTGTGTATCTAGAGCAAAACGCGCAGTTTTGCTAGTACTTTAGTTAAGTTTTCGAAATTGTCCCACATTCAAACGACGATTTGGCGCCCCCCTAAGACGGCGCCCCCCTGCACAGCGGGGTCAGCAGGGCCTTTCGTTACGCCACTGTAGAGCGGTGGACTGTTGAGCGGTGGACTGTAGGCCGGTGAAGGTCGGAAGTAGGACTGTAGAGCGGCCCTCCCTTATAGATCCCATAACATGAGGACTCTAGAGCGGTACCCTCCTATAACATGAGGACTCTATAGCGGTTGAAAATTTGAAGATTGAACACTCAACGAAGCTAAGTTATACATTGTAACTCGTGATTGATTATGGTCATGACATTCTAGGATGATAACTTTATTAAAGAGTCATGGAGTTAATGAACATTTTCATTTACTTATTATAAATATTTCATTACTAATATTATAGTGTAACTTAATTTAAGATTATTGGTCGGTCTCAACGTCTTCCAAATGATTGAAATATTCCCCTGCTACTCGAAAATGTAAAACGTGTCTTTGGTATTTTAGTGAACTGTTCGTATCAATGTGATTTCGCTAAGCAGAGTACCGATCAAGTTCGTGCAGATCATTTAGGAATGAGGATCGCATCGCGTGTCGCTTTAGCGCCTACTAAGGATATCTCATGTTCATCAATCTGGTGACGGGACTGATTCAGATCAGATCCCGTCGCAGTGCGATATAATGTTAGGATTTCAAAGGTATGGTATAAATATCACAGCAGTGGTGGACGGTTGCTACTTCCACTAAAATACCGAAGACACGTTTTACATTTTCGAGTAGCAGGGGAATATTTCAATCATTTGGAAGACGTTGAGACCGACCAATAATCTTAAATTAAGTTACACTATAATATTAGTAATGAAATATTTATAATAAGTAAATGAAAATGTTCATTAACTCCATGACTCTTTAATAAAGTTATCATCCTAGAATGTCATGACCATAATCAATCACGAGTTACAATGTATAACTTAGCTTCGTTGAGTGTTCAATCTTCAAATTTTCAACCGCTATAGAGTCCTCATGTTATAGGAGGGTACCGCTCTAGAGTCCTCATGTTATGGGATCTATAAGGGAGGGCCGCTCTACAGTCCTACTTCCGACCTTCACCGGCCTACAGTCCACCGCTCAACAGTCCACCGCTCTACAGTGGCGTAACGAAAGGCCCTGCTGACCCCGCTGTGCAGGGGGGCGCCGTCTTAGGGGGGCGCCAAATCGTCGTTTGAATGTGGGACAATTTCGAAAACTTAACTAAAGTACTAGCAAAACTGCGCGTTTTGCTCTAGATACACACTTTTTTACAGATTTTACCGGCGTATTCTTTAAAATTACCTAACTTGTTCAATTTTAGGGAGGGGCACCAAAAGGGGAGGGGGCGCCAACAGGGGGGCGCTTTTTTCGGCAGGGGGGCGCCAACAGGCAATGTTACGCCACTGCCGCTCTACAGTCCTCATTTTAGGATCGTACCGCTCTAAAGTCCTCATGTTGTGAGATCTATAAGGGCGGCCGCTCTAGAGTCCTACCCTGGCGATTTGACACCGCTCTACAGTCCTACTTCCGACCTTCACCGACCTACAGTCCTACGCTCAACAGTCCACCGCTCAATAGTCCTGCTCCCTTCAAAGATTCGGTCAACCGAATATAGTCGGTGACTGATTATTTGATGATTCGGTCGACCGAATATATTTGGTGAATTGGTATTCAGTGACCGAATATTCAAAGATTTGGTCGACCGAATATATTCGAATATATTCACGATATTACCCAATTAAGAAGTAAACTTGATAAAGTTTACTTACGAGCATTTTAGTGGCGTCCCTGTCGAAGTTGTTCTCATAACGTTGGGGATCCACCCAGGGAAGAGGAATGCTGAAATACAGTGGTATAATCACTATCAGCACCTAGCTAGACTATCAGCTAGACTATCAGCACCTAGCTAGACGAACTTAGTATGAACAATTGTCATTTCATTTCTTGCTCCTTATTTTATCTAAATTTAGAAGAATTCAGTGTTTTACGTTTGTAATAATTTTGCAGTCTCGGCTTTGCTGAAAATTGTGACTATAAAAAAGGTTACATTCACCCGTGAAGTGTTTCTAACGATGAGTCAAAGTTAATAATGATTATTCCGGCAAACTTATTTTCGAAGGGACTCACATGATGTTAGGATCGTTGAGGATCTTCTTGCCGATCATACCAAAAGCGTAGGCGAAGCAGGCGATAGTGGGAGCAACGATCATCCAGAGCTGAAAATAGTGGCTGTTATCAATAAAATACACAAGGAAGCTTGACACTGATAATCGTGATGTGAATCTTTAATTTGTCCAGAAGTTGTATCTACATTCTACATTCTACAAGGTGGGCCAGAGAAAACTGATCATTTTCATTTTAGTTTTTTCGATAACACTTAACAGAGCAATGAAAAGCAGTTCTGTAAAAACTGAGATTGTAGTATGATCGAATAGTTTAGCGAAACAGGCCTTAATTCTAAACTGAGATTATATTTTGAGCCGAAGCGGAGTGACTTTTCATTTTGTTGCAGTTTTTTTTTCTACGTGGTTTTAACCTCATAAACCTACACAAATTATCAAATCCGTCAAAACTATACATGTTGCATCTCTAAAGCCAGATGAAGATAACCTCCAAATTTGCAGTCCTGGTAAAATTCTATAAGAGCTTGCAAAATTAATCAATCATAGTGCTATACCACTATAGTGGTATTGGAAAGTGAATTCCAAAAACTATTTGTATATTTTATAATGAGGGCAGGAACTGAGAGTGCCCATTTTCCCACGGTTTGTCACATTTTGTCAATCTTGTCGTATACTGTCATATATTGTCATATATTGTCATATTATAGTGTCATATATTGTCAAATCTTGTCGTATATTGTCATGTGTCAAATATTGTCGTATATTGTCATATATTGGCACATATTGTCACATCTTGTCGTAAAATTGTCATGACATTGGGCACTCTCGGTTCCTGCCCTAATGATCACTTTTCTCTGGCCAGCAATATTGTGATTGAGAAAACAATAACTTGTCACTCGATATATCTCTGGCATCAATAATCTGAATTGGATAATGTTGCAAAACGTTTCATGTTAAAATAATGTAAATACCCCTTTATCGTGCTTGAGAGCGTGTTTAGTGAATCTGCTGAGTCCTTTTGTCCACATCAGAGGATCAATATTCATTGGCCCCTTTGGCATCGGTAATCCATGTCCTCCCATGATTTTAACTAATAATGATTTAATGAATATTAAAATGAATATTAAAACTATTAATGAAATGAAATAAAATAAGGTGCTTATATCCCGCCCAAATGCGGCTCTAAAGGGTGAGTGATAAAGGCTAGCATGAAAATGAATATGACACTGTCGTGTCGAAAATAATTTAAATCAATAATCAAGATCTTGTCCTCACAACATATAATACCACTTCTGACATAATAGCGTCTATTCAAATCGTCTTTTGCCTTTTGTTTCATCTCCAATACGAGCAGATGGTGTCGGGCTTACTATTCATAATTCAGGTGACCGATCTGGAGAATGAAAACAGTTCTGTGATGCTGACTCAGTCTCAGATCTCAAGTCCTTCGATTTCAGTAATATCTCATGAACATTGTTGGAATGCATGAACAATAATTTGACAGGTCTGGTCTTGTTGGCTGATCTCCTTCCAATCATGACAGCTTCAAAGCGTGGTTTCACTTCCATCTGTTGAAACAGTTTGTCTACTTTATCGGATAGTTTCTCACCATCTGTCTCCTTTAAACAAAAGATGACAAGATTCATACTGCGGTCCTCTTCTGATACAGCACTCTCGACAACCTTTTCCAACCTCTGTTCTGTCAATGCAGTTTCCGGCTCTGACTCATCACAGCTGGAGGCTTCTTCAAGTTCTGTAATCCAAGTATTAATGTATATAAAACTATTCAAACAATATACACATAATAATATAGCAATGACCCTATATAAAATCAACCCTTTAAGAATTCAAAAAATTCCCTTAACAATTAAAAATTACCCTTGGCCTTGTGGCTCCAAGTTAAGATCTAGACTGTTTATATCAACAATGTTTTTTCTCGCACCTCTGTCTCCACGGAGAGAAATCACTGTTGTGATTAATCCAAGTATTAATGTCCTGATCATACGCTTCAGTCAAATATACGGTGCAAGCTGTTTTGCTCTAGATACACACTTTTTACCAGCGTATCCTCTAATATCACCTTATTTGTTCAATTTTTAGGGAGGGGCACCTAAAGGGGAGGGGGCGCCAACAGGCAACGTTACGCCACTGGTGGACGAGCTCCTAAGTCAATTTCGTGGTGAACACTTAATTTTAAACGGTTTTTGTTACGGTCCTGAAAGAATTTCGATGCATCTAATTCAGCTAACAATTTAGTCAACAATTTCATTTAAACCAACTATCACGACTGTGGACATCAGGAGAATTTCGTATACAAGGCAGGTGGCAAAGCAGCAATATGCTTCCTAAAACAGCTGTAGAAACTAAAAAATGTATCTTTAGCACTGCCTAAATCCGTCAGAGCTAGTGTGTCAAACAGTATATATACAATAAAGTAATTCAAGTGTTGCAATTGGCAGAGCACAATACAGAGGTAACGGAAATTGTCCACTGCTACCAATATTATATAATATGAAATATCAAAAATCAAATATATACACATCTACTCCATCATAGGGGCAGGGATGAGGTTATAAGAGACTTCTGATAGTGGTTTCTCATATTTGCTGTCCATTTTTTTCCCTCTGTACCCTCGTAGAGCAATGAGTGTGGTTCTTAGCATTGCAAATCTTATTCTTGTCCTCACATGCACGTCTTACCACATCGCAATACCTCTCTTTCCTTTTCCTGGCGATGAGGTCTGCTACTCTAGCAGACCTAGTAGTTTCCCAGTAGTGCATCGCTACAATCATCTGGCGAAGAAATATTATTTGATGCCCGGAATTTAACAATCTAACAATTATTTATAACATCATGAAAAATGAAATGGGATCGCAACAAATACTTAAATGTCAACGAATAGCTTATTATAGTACCTGTGTAGATACAAAAAATTTAGCGCTCGATTTTAAATTTTCGCTGTAAATTGGTAAAAATACGCGCGGCGCGCAATAAATTGTAATTTTATTGAACGCTAACTTTTCGGTCCAATAACAGTAATGAATAGATCATAAATAAATAAAAATAATCTCTCATAACGATCGAATATTGCCTACAACACGGATTTTATGTTAACGGGTGGTACTAAAATATTTGTTCTAAGAGAAAAATAAGAAAAACAAAATTTTTACTTACCACAACACAATTAATACATATCATGTTATTCATATAGATAAATTCAAATTTGAAATTCAACCATATATATATATGCACAGCCCACCGCATACAAAGCCAAACATTTTTGAGAAATCTGCATAAGCGCCGCGCGCGGGTGGCATTCACATAGCCATGTGTATACGCGTACTGCGTGACGCGCGCTACTGCAAGCGAGAGGGCTCTGGTTAGAGCAAGGCCGTGAACATTGCAATACCAATAACGGAGAGATTTCAAAACGGATGATAATTAATCACTCTACACTCGACTGTCACGTGACTTTTTCACCCCGTTCTCTAGCTGGTCCTAAACGACTGTTCGAAACCCTAACCCTCTTATCTGATCCCAACCCTAACCCTAACCCAATCCTTAACAAAAGCATTTGCTGAAACCCTAACGAGAAATTAGACTAACTTCCTTATACGGTCATATCAGTTTTTTGCCTATATCTCGTCAGGGGAGCATTTTAAACCTATGTCATGGGGGGTGATTCGGAATCAGCGTCCGAAAATACATCGATTGAAGTTGGTTTCAACTGTCGGGGAAACTTTTAGAACAATCTCGAAGATCGACTGTAGAGTGATTTAGTACGCTCGTTTCAAAACCGCACGCTTAACGGGTGGTACTCGCAAAATATCTGTTCCAACTCGGCGCGCGTCCTGGTAGGTTGTAAACTTACAACCGCACGCTCATGACTTGTTATTGAGCGCGCGCCTCTGCGAGAATCGGTACCGCTTTAGTATGACGTACTAAACAGTACGTTACTGGGCCGCGCTCAGCCGGTCATTCCGCCTAATCTCTATTCTCTATTATGTTTATAAACTGTCCAGTTAAAACGTGTCAGTCATGTGCAAAATCAATCAGAATGGTAAGGTGGTAAAAAAGGGAATATCTTTTCGATACATCAATTATATATGCCTCAGATTTAAAAGAATTAGAAGTTAATTAGTTATCGTCGACTATGATTGCAGTGTAAAATTTTTCATATGAATTGTCGACGGTATAATTAGGGTATGTTGTTATAGATGATAGTAGCTGTTTCTTATACGAATCACTAAAGCTTTTAACATCGGGCAGATTTCGTAGATCTGTTGGAACATTATTCCAACATTTTGCCCCCAAGTATTGAAAGTTTTTATGTGATGTTGATCTATTGACATAAAGGTTGCAGCTTTCGCCGCTCCTACTACCTCCTGATATGTAACTAAATTTGTTCATAAAGTTTGTAGGACAATTGTCATGGATGATTCTAAACATATAATTTGACAGATGGAGTTGTCGTCTAAGATGGAGTGGTAACCATTTATAAAACATTAACATAATAAAACATTAAGGCTGCTCTCTGTTTTTGGAACGTTGGAACGTTGAGAGCTATTTTGGCTACCTTTTTGTACAGAGTGTCAAGTTCAGCAAGTTTTGTCTTGCCAGCTCTACAATAGATCGTGTCTAAATAATCGAATTGTGGCAACATGAGTGCATTGGCAAACATTTTCCTATATTTAATGGGTAGCAGTGCTTTACTTCTATACATGGCACCAATTCTCTTCATGACCTCTTTATAGACAATTTATTGTAGCTATTAAAGGGGATGTACGGATAAAGTACCAAACCTTATTGTGTATATTTGGTTGCAATTCCGGTAAATGATGAAACATGTCTCTTCTGAGAGTGATACCGTGAGTTGCTCCCTTTTTTTATTCTCTTCATGACCTTCCTAATAATATAATCTACATGGCTTTTGAAGTTTAATTTACTATCTAGAATGAGGCCAATATATTTTGTCTCTTTGCACTCCTTGATTGTGAAAGTTACCTCATTACAATCAATGGTTATTTCATCATGTTGGTCAACAGAATCAAACAATAGGAATTCAGTCTTCTTTTCATTGAGTGATAATTTATTAACACTGAGCCATTTAAAGATTGTCATAAGTTCTATTTTCATGTTTATAAATGTGCTTCTGCAGGTTTGATCAAAGAATAGTGCACCATCATCTGCAAATAGAAAGGGCTTAGATAGGTTACAGGCATAAATGATGTCATTTATGAAGATACTAAATAATATAGGCCCAATGATGCTTCCTTGTGGTACACCACTCAGAACTTCTAAAAATGAGCTTAGATTGCCATTGATCCTAGTGCATTGATATCTACAAGATAAGAAGTTCTTAAACCAGGTTAAAGCAATGCCACCAATTCCATAATATGCCAATTTTTGAAGCAATATTTCATGATTCACTGTGTCAAAGGCCTTCTTAAGATCAAGAAAGATGATTCCTGGTTTATAAGACTTAGATTTACTCATATATATTTCGTCCATCAGATCGTACATCAGATAAGTTGTGGAGTGATTTTTCCGAAAGCCATATTGATGCCGGATGAAAAGTTTGTTCTCTTCCATGTAATCAGTGAGTTGCTTGCCGACAAAGTATTCTATAAGTTTTCCTATAAGTGGAAGGATGGATATTGGCCTGTAATTATTAGGATCATCTTTCATTCCTGCCTTATGGATGGGAGTTACTCTAGCTTTTTAACAAAGGGTTGGTACAACACCTGTATTAAGGCTCAGATTGCAAATGTGGGTCAGTGGCTCAACTATGTGTGGTACAGCTTGCTTAAGTAAAAATAGAGGCACATTGTCATATGAGGCCTTGTCATTCTTGAGCGTTTCGACATACATTAGGATATCAGTTTCATTTATTTCTTGGAATCTATCAAATGAGATATTAGAAGTTCTAGGAGGTAAAAAATCAGTAAAACTAACTCTTTCAATATTGGGGGCCTGATTTTGTAATCTTGATCCAACATTTGCGAAATGAAAGTTAAATAGCTCAGGATCATTCTCATTGATAGTTTGACAATTAGTTGTACCAGGGGTCATATTTGATGCCAGTTTGATAGTTTTCCATATCCCTTTAAGATCATTCTTGGCACTTTTAACTTGTAGATCATCGATTACATTAGCCTTTTTGCAGGTTTTAGCTAATTTATTTCTAATATTTCTCTGAATCTTGTAGCAATCCCAGGCCTCATTACACTTTATACATTTGCTACATGTACCACATTCATTGCAATTTCCATTGTCTCTCTTATCCTTCTTTTTACGGAATTTCTTTAGAAGAAAATGTGTATGATTAATGGCATTTAAAAGTTCAGTAGAAGGTTTATGTATGAACTTTTCATGCCTTTCTATGGTCTTGCAAGGGAAGAAGGTTGCATATGCCTGTTCAATATGATGACAAAGGCCAGCAGTGATAGCTTCAACATCTGTACTTTCCAATAGTGGACTGTAATCAGAACAGGTATCTAGATAGTCTAAGAATTGTTTAACATTACGTTTACAATGATTTCTAATTTCAACCTTCTCAAATTTAGGAGCTATAGGTACTTTACAATCTATCTCACACATAATAGCTTGATGATCTCCTATACGTTCATCAAGAACAGAAGATTGGACAAAATCTGCATAACAGTTAGTGAATATTACATCAATAGTAGTCTGGGTAAAATTGTCTCCACGTTTAGCAACTCTAGTTATCCCTTGAATGGTTTGAACTAAATTGTAACATCTCAAGGTCATATCTAATGAAGGAACAGTCTAAATAGGAAGGTTTTTAGAAGAGCTTTAAAAGATTCCATTTCTTTTCTAAATGGCAAGTTAAAGCAGATGAAAATCGGACTAAGCTCAACTAAGAATCAGCTGATTGAGAGTCAAAAAATGGGTCATCAGCACTCAGGAATCAATAATTGACTGCAAAGGGAAACAGTTGCAGAAAGAGTTGCAGGCAGTGCAGACCGTCGTTAAAGACACGGTTTAAATCGTACAGCGATCTAAATCGTACAGCGATGCAGTTCAGGAAAACTTCATGGTTTGTCAACCTGATAGCTCAGTTACCCCCGAGACTGTGAAGGAAGTCATCAAGTCTGTGGTGCAAGCAGAAGACCAGAGCAAGAATATTATGATTTTCGGCTTGCCTGAAAATGCCAGTGAAGACTTGAGCATAACGGTCGAAGACATGTTTGAGGAGATTGGACTGAAACCAGCAATGGAGCTCAGTAGAGTTGGCAATTTGAAGGAAAAGGCTTCTGGGCCAGTCAAAGTTACTCTGTCCAGTTCTAGTACAGCCCATCAGATACTCAGTCACGCTCGAAAGCTGCATCAGTCAGCTAAGTTCAGCTCTTTGTTAGTCCAGACTGCTGATTGGAGGATTGAGTTAAGCACTGACTTCTTGTTCAGAACCTGAATAAGAAGAAGAGTGCTGAGCCAAATAAGCACCACTACATCAAAGGAGGGACAATTCATACTGAAGACAAATCAGTGAGATGAGTGTGGCTTTTACTTGAGTGTATTTTTACAATACATGTCTTGCTATTATATTAGGGACGATAGTTTTTGTAAGAGGATGGGGACTTGTCCCATATTGCTAAATTTTGTATTTGTTGAGTAATTCATTCTGGCCGTGCACACGTACACTGGCCTGGGTAACTGATAATTTCCCGCAAGGGTTGCCAGAGTATTATGAGGACAGACTGCGAGTCACCTCAGACTGGCTGGCAGGAAGTTTCAAAACATATAACAGTTGCGCTCTATATATTACACACTATATTGTATCAGCGCACATATCACATTACACATCTTCGAATCAGAACCGGAAAAATGATAACAAATAATACCTTGGCTTCGTTTCGTGCTGGGCAAGCCCTCCGCTAAAGCATTATCGCCCATAGCACTCAACAGCCTTGAAGGTATTATTGTATTATAACTATTCTTGATATATATTTTTCAAATCAATCGTTAAGACTTAAATTGATCATTAGAACCACCCGGGCACTGTCCCGGTTTACAATGTATTAATTACTTGTAGCCTACCTATGTGACCTATGCACTTACTTGTAGCATGATAATATCCTATAAACTGGACAGAAACACAAACATAAGCACAAACAACAACAGATAATGGGTAAAAAGGGTGGTAAAGGAGGTTAGTTAAATCTCTTTATTTCTCTTACATTTCTTGGAATAAAGATAACAAAACATCCCGATCCCGATCCTCCTGAATTAAATTGTTATAAAAATAATCTAATTTGATAACAAAGCATGCAAATTATCTGACATTTATCTCTTTCAGTGAGTGACGAAGATTTTGTTGTTACCAAACGAAATGGACGTAATGCTAAAGGAAAAAGAGGTAAATTTTGCAAACATGTTTTTAAATTAATCAAATTCTACATTAAAGAATTATATTGATTGAAATAAATTTTCGTGCTCATACAGAATGAATGGTTAATAATTTAATATATATGTAGACCAAGCTCTGTGCACGGGATGCTTCCTGGAAGAATCCAGTTCTTTTAGCGGGGCACCCTACCTAAAGCCAAATTAAGATATAATAATCATATTCCTAGGGAAATAATCAGAAATCGAATACCAATCAAATAATATGATATATAGGAGTAGTAACCATATTTACTATGCAAATTGCCCCAACCACATAGTGTAAATTTATATAAAATTCAAATTCCATATCATCATTAAACCTCAATAGTCAATATAATAGCCCAAGCAAAATTAAATAACTTCTTATATACCTTACTGTCATACTACAAATTAATTAAACATTTGAAATCTGTTAACGAGAGAATAAATTTCTAAACCTAATGCAAGTGAAATAATTTAGATGCAATAATGAATGCCTAATGTGAGTATCATCTGTCAATGTCCTTGTAAAACAGTCTGTACAAGAGATATGAGTAACTAATATAACACAATGAACATGTTGGTAATTAAAGTGGGACAGAATGAACGAGATCCCATTCCTTTTAAAGTAAACAGTAAAACTGTTTCAGGAAAAGCGCGAGAAGAGCTAGAGACGAGCGATATTGAAGACGATCTGTCCAGTTATGTTAGTAACCTCAGTTATCAGCACATTGACAAGGACTCTATTGGGTCAGGAAGTGAGTTCTCATTTTACTTTACAGATTATATGAACTCCCTCTAGTCCTCCTTATTTTTACTGCTTATAACACTGTGACAGGAACCCAACGCACCCCTAATTGTTACTCTTACCAGTCTCTTGTCTGAGATTGAGTGTTTATTGATTGACTTGTTGTGTTTATTCTGTCACACCTTGTCACACCATGGCCCTGTCACACCCTGACCCTGTCACACCTTGCATAATATAACAAGTTATTCCTCGCACAGATGTTAAATCTAACACTCAATTGTAAACAAAATACATTTACGGTAATTTACATGTAGTTGTGAAATTAGTTTAAATATTATATATATAGTGTTTATCGTCAAGACTGTTATTTATCGTTTATTAATTAAAACCGGATAATTCTGATGTACACATGAGATTAAAGTATCACCTATAAAAGTATCGCCTATAAAACTAGTATTATAGCTTATTATTCAGACTACTAACGGGTAATTACAAAAAAATTGGAACTTTTTCAGATCCCTTTATCTTGTCAATCAATTCATTTGTGGTCAAAATCAATGAAACGGTGTTAACATTTGGACAATTTTGAACAGAAATAGTCAAATATTCAATGCCAAAAACTTAGAAGCCCCTTGCAGTAGGCACAGAGCAATCTCTTTCTAACAGCCACTGAAGCGGCTTGTACCCAGTTTGCTTGGGAATCTTCTTGATGCAAGATCTTCTGCGATTCAGAGCTTCTGCATCTCCTGCAATCCAGTTCCGGGGATAAACATGTGAAGCCAGTATTCCAAAGTAGTCCTCTATGGGTGTACATTGCATTGTGGAAATTCATCTTTTTTTATATTATACATTTTTTTTTAAATTCGACATTTTCTGCTTCTTTTTTTTGCTTCACGTTTTGCCGCTTCATCCTTATATCTGGGCACTTTGGTGCTCTTTAAACAGCGAATTTTTAATCTTTTGTTCGGTCTCGAAATATATCCCTGAGTACAGCCAAATCTGCCAAGGACCTCTGGGAGATGCCGGTCTTGTGGTCAACAGAACGTCTAAGTTGGGCCATTTTTTCACGTCTTCCTGACCGTATAGCTCTGGCTACAGATCCTTCCTGCTCATATCGCTTCACAATCCGGTAAATATTAGTCTTAGCCATACCTTGTGCTGTAACATGTTTGGCTGTAAAGCTTCGCCAGTCGTCGAGTTGGCTTTTCCAAATTTCAATAAACTGTACAAGCCGCTTCAGTGGCTATTAGAAAGAGATTGCTCTGTGCCTACCGCAAGGGGCTTCTGAGTGTTTGGCACTGACTATTTCTGTTCAAAATTGTCCAAATTTTAACACAGTTGAATTTGACCACAAATGAATTGATCGATTTTTTTGTAATCACCCATTAGTACTTAGCAGGCGTTATAAAAATCTGCATATTTCCAATAATAACAGTCTTCTTACCTAAACAACAATCAGTGATATTTCACGTGTCATTACACGTGATATAACACGTGTTATAACACGTGATGTTACGTCACAATACACGTCAGGTCTAACAGGGGAGAGTGGTATAGAAGATAACGATGTATTGGACCAGCAATTAGACGTTTCATTGGAGGCCGCTGCTCTCAAAAAGTAAGTTTCACACTATATTCCTTAATATACTCACATCGTGGTTTTTAAGTTTCCAGAACACTTTCATTGGAATTGTAGAATGATGATTTATTGGAACTAGTAATGTTCTAAAATGATAGATTTCTGGGAACTAGTAATGTTCTAGAATGATAGATTTGTGGGGACTAGGAATGTTCTAGAATGTCTGTAGAATGTTTAAATTGAAGTTGTATAATTTTCCTCCACAATTTCATCCACATTTTCCTCCACATTTTCCTCCACATATAATATAAAATTATAACTATGTTTCAGCTCGGTAGTGAGAATAAAGAACTTGAAGATCATTCAGGAGCTACTGTCTACTAAAATAATGGGGGAGACTTTGTTTAAAAGGTTTGTTACGCGATTATATCACTTATTATACTGTTATAGTTCTGTGCTTTTTCAATGTTGCCTGGCTACTGGCCACAGTTCTGGTACATAGTAAATAATTTTTCTATTTTGTTCTGGATTTTGACTTGCAGTACCTCAATTTGGTCTCATACCGTCATCAGTTTACTGAATAATTGATTGCTGGCCAAAAAGGTCATCAAATCTGTCAAATTTCTGTTTAGGATATATCATCGAATTATTGTCCTTAAAGTTTATGTTCTTCTTTCCTTATCTTATTCCATTGTGATTGTCACATAATTTACATGTTCGGAACAAACTCCGGCCCCCTTAATCATGTAATCTGATTATTTTTCTCCCATATTCATCAAAATGTAAAATATTTAATATTCTTATTTCTCAGTCTCAATTTTCCACCGATCGGAATACGTCAATGTGCTAATTTCTACAGTATTTTATACACTAAACTTTAGCCCAGGCGCTAAATGTGATATTTAAATTTTGAGGCGAATTAAGAAAAATCATCCATATTTATTCAATGGGTCGGGCTTGAACGCTAAATTGCAATTTCTTGAAGATTTCAAGACAGACATGATATTGAGAGATACGAATAGTCAATTAATGACCAATAATTCACCAATAATTCATAAATTTGCAATTAAATTTCACTTAGGTTTTGTAAAAATAGCAGGAACTGGCCCAAGTCACGTGACTGCGATATATTCCCATTGGTTAATTACAAATTTACTGTTGTCTGATTGGTTTTACATAGAAATAATAACTGACAAATAGTGTACTAAAACACAGACCACAGTGCTATATAAATTAGATTTTACTGTGAACTATACTAATAAACTTGAGAATGTAAAATATCACTATGCAGTTATTAGTGGCTTTGTTGTATCACTTTCGAGTGTGAACTGTGAGATAGTATTATAAGATAGAATTAGAAGTAACTAAATTTAGTATCCCTATCTCAAGTTACTATAAATTGTATTCTCAATATTTTACAGGAAAGGAGAAATGCTGGACGTGCTCATCAAATCTTTCAAGATTGGTAAGATATTTATCTTTATAGTTATACTATTGTCATTTCTGATCATACATTTACAAATTGTCGCTGACTCCAAAGACTGAAGTTTCCAATTTTCGGAGATAATTAATATTTCCAAGGGTCGAGAATAGTGTGATTGATATGAGTGTGTCTTGTTGGTTCCTTTTTGGAGAGAAGTAAAACTGCTCATCTAGTTGTAGTAGAAATACCATATTGTATTAAACAAAATACGCACTATTAAACAAATAATACTCACAATAATTTCAGTAGATTAAAAAATGTGAGCACGTATTTCGGCCTTATAAATTAGCCTGTATGTCTTACACAGTACCACTGACAGTTCAACATTACATCACTATAATTCCTACTTCCTGATGCCCCAGTTTATCACAGCTCAACTGAAGAAGCCATTGTTATCGCATTTTTTAGCAACCAACAAATTTGCATGGCCTTTTCCTCATCGTCGAATGAAGTTATCTTATTATCTATAACTTTAACTCAACAATTTTATCTTCTCAATTGCTGCAAAGGTCCGACGGGTCAAGAATGTATTTTGTATATTAATCTAATAATTTACCGTACGAGGACTCGGACTATTCCTTCCACTTTGTACCTGTATAAAGCATTAAATCATAGTTTAAACGTTGTGAGATCATCTCACAAGCTTATTGTGAAACAACCGTGACGTCACTAAAATATAACATGGGATGGGTCGCACACTGCCACCAGCATGTGCCATGCCTGATCAACAGCGCGTTTCAAAAAGCACACTATTTGTTAGCGCAATTGTATGCAAAGTGTTATCGTCAACACTCACATGGGGTGGCGCGCGGACCGCGCGTTTTGTTTATACCGCTAACTGTAGCGACCATTTGTTTTCCTGATTGGCATAGCGCCAGTGGTAGTGCCAGTTACATCATCTGTTATCTCGCACAATATCACTGGCCTCTGTTTTCTGGCATCTAGCCTAAGGTGATACAGTAGTATTAAAAGCTTAGCAACAGTATCGGATGTTGTTGCCCTCATCTATAAATAAATTGACGCTAGCTACCCTGTCTGACTTATTAACTGTCAAACTTATATAACCAAGTAAAAAAACACTGGGTTGGCCGTAATAGTGTCGCTGGAACTGCAATTAATTTAAATACTACTCTTAGCTGTATCTCTAAAAGACATATTATTATTTATTATAAAACAGGATCTTACCGACAAAAATGATTCTTAAAAATACCTTAATGCGGTAAACTGTACCCTTGAAACAGATTTTCCCAACATCTGTTGCGTGCAGCTATATCTCAATTTCGTTCAACTCATGCAAGTTGTCCATTGAAAATTTCTACTACTTAAATTACTTCTTAAAACAGATAAAAAGTTCATTCTAGGTCTCCCCAATCTTCCAATAAATAAATCATCTGATTCAATAGCAAAAGAGAGAGCCGTTTGGGCTGGGTGTTCTCTATACTCCAGAGAATGTGTCCAAACATCTTTTCACTGCTGGTGTTCGATACGCTTATATAACTTTTCAACTTTGCACCTTTTTATACAATGCTTAGTTGCTTATCATACCTTTAGGCCATTTTATGTTTAAAATGGACCTGAGGTGCATACGATGAAGTGTGTCCATTTTCTTCATGGTTGCTTTCTTAGGACTCCAACTATTTGAGTTATAAATCAATACAGATACAACTTGAGCATCATATAACCTCAGCTTTCTTTCAAGGGGAATTTTCTCACCGGACAACCATACTTTTTCAAAGTTCTTAAAAGCAATCTCAGACATATCAACAATAATAATTGTGAAAACTGCTTTTTCCTGTTAGTCAACTTGTAAGTTATAAACAACTTAATCAAGAAAACGGTTAGAGTTAGGATATCGATTTTTTCGGTATAATGCCGACAAAATTAGGATATTCGCTTCATCCTCTCTGGTAATGTTTTAAAATTTTCTTCTCTCATCTGAATATCTTGAATATCCGTCTTATGAATATGTGAATAAGTTAAAACTGCATGGATCAACAAACAAGGGTCCGGTCACAGTGGCGTAACGAAGGACCCCGCTGTGCGGCATCCACACACTTTTTTAGAGATTCTACCGGCGTATCCTCTAAAAAGAGGGGGGGGGGGGGGGGGGCAACGTTACACCACTGGGTCCGGACCCTTGTTTATTGATCAACTCCAAATCACGCTTCACGTAGAGACAATTAACACGAACCATACTTAATAACGGATACAAATTTGCTTCAAATACCTATAACCATACTCTAAAACGCAATTTAATGTCCAAAAGTTTGTTTGATAACCCAACTAAACATTTTAATACTCGTGACCAGGAAAAAACTAATTCGTTTTTTTCTTAAATTAGTAAACGTTTTAGTTAAATGAAAGACGGTGAAATTATTTGCCGACAAGTATGAAACACTCCGCTCCCCATTAAAAATAAGTTATAGAAGGTCACTGGTAACTGGTTAACCAACGGGAATACATCAATTTGAGGCGCGTATAGAAGAGTTAGAAGATGTAAAGTCCTTCTAATCACTAATAATTATTATTGTTTCAGGTAAAGGGGCAGAGAGGTTAACAACAGCCCAACTAACAGTGCTATACGGACTGCAGTGCGGGGAGGAGGTGGATATGGAGGATCTTTATAACGAGATCAAACCTTTCCTGTTAGCTGCTATTGATGACGGCAACATTGACGCAGCTCAGCGGGCTAAAATCATCTTCAAACTCTCTGTGCTGTGTTTCTTATGCTCTGGTTAGTGTAGTACAGCAATACTAAGGTAATGGGACTACTGCGGACCCTCTACCGGCCAAACCTTGTTAACAAAGCCGCAGTCAAGGTTCGGTGAACGGTAGTTAAAAGCGCTTAAGGGACATAAGTCAAAGTGGTAGAGCAACATGATCATGTAGTGGACATCTTGAGAAATGAGTAGTAGGTAGAATGTAAGGTTGCTTCTTCATAAATCGTCTTTTTCTCCGATATTAAAATTGACATCAAGTCTTGAAAATTATTCGAGAAGAATCTTGATGTCAATTTTATTATCGGAGAAAAAGACGATTTATGAAGGAGCAACCTGACATTCTACCTACTACTCATTTCTCAAGATGTCCACTACATGATGTTGCTCTACCACTCTGGTTAATGGTTGAGAACACGTGACCAATTATTACCACAATTAAAGTAATTAATTAATTAATTAAATTAAAGTGATCCAATCTACAAGTCCCATCACTTTGATCTGCTTTATTATTATGTTGATGATATGGGAGCACTTCAACATCCAAAGTATTCATCAAATAAAGTGATTATATTGCCTTGTTATTCAGATATTCAGTCAAAGTGGGCGCTAGCAATGGTGTCTTAAGTTGGAAAATGTGTCAACAATGTTTTATTATCAATATTTTGCTGAGTTTCAACACTTACTTTAACAAAATGCCCGAGTGTAGTTATTCATTATAAATATAACATTTTTTTAGAATAGGCGCAGGCTAAATAAAAAATACTGAAAGCTGAATACCTCGTTGGCGTTGATGAATCTGGAATTGTGGAACATTTTGGAACATTTTTGGAACATTTTTGGAACATGGGGACAAAAGTGGGACATGCATTTTTGCCCTAATATTCCCTGAATGGTGCCAGAAATAATTGTAAATGATAGATATAGTTGCAAGCTAGGTCTGGGGGCCATCGAAAGTAGCATAACATTACCCAGGTTCATGGAATGAACGGAAATGAACGAAAATGAACATTCTCCTCAAAGTGCTCAGAATAGTTTAAAATTGGTCGCAAAGACTTAATATTGGTCCTAGGACCACTCAAACCAAGTTTGGAAATCACTGCATGGCTTGAACCTATGTAATCAATGTTCAAAAATGTTCCAATTTTGTTCCAATAATCCTCCTGAGTATCCAGATTTTTGGAACATGGGGACATCGAAGTATTGGCCGTTCTAGACATACATTGATTCCCAAACTTGGTTTGAGTGGTCCTAGGACCAATATTAAGGCCAGAGGGGGGGGGGGGGATAAGGGGTCAAAAAAATCGACCCAAATATTATTTTCTAAATCAATTAAATTTTTGATGACAAGAACATTGCTGCTATTCACATATTTATAGCTGCTTAACTTTTTTTATGATTGAGGTTAACCGATTTTCACAAAATTGACTTACAACATTGAGGTTAATAAAATTGAGGTTAATATTTTATTACACTCCATAATTTTTTTTTATTTCGGTCAGCAATGTAAACTCTAAATTTTAGGTTCATAATTGTCAGAAAAAGTAATATCCGAACGTGATTAAATGAGGTTAGCCTCTTTTTTTAGATATAGCGAAAATAGATCAAATGATAGAGTTATTATTTTCATCGTAAGTTTACGGTATACACATTTCTAAATAGATGACGTGTTGATTGACTTTCTTTTATCTTGGAAAAGTGAAAAAAATGAGGTTAACCATCACATTTTGGTACCGTAAGAATATACATACGATTCTTACTTTTGTAATGTACCACAACAACTCTGGAACCCCTCTGGATTGTAAGAAAAGACTGAAGAAAGTTGCGAAAGCATGTCACAAACGCCTGAGCACGCTTCTTGTTGAGCCTCCAGTAGTCTCAGCTGAGCCCGAATGCGTTACCCATTCCCTCCAAACTTTGGAAAACTCTGTTATTGATCTACAATCCAAAATAAGTCTACAACATAGCACCCTCCAAACACTTGTCTTATGTTCTGACAGTAATTCCAATCAAAAAGGTAGTGTCAGCCCCCCTAACCTGTCTAATGAACTCAATACTATGGACAAGAGACTTGAAAAGTTAGAGGATATAATGAGCAGCATAAACGAAAAACAACATGAAACTGCTACCTCCCTTAAAGCCTTCGAAGCAGATGTCACTGCAATTAAGAACAAAGTAGATGACTCTAAGGCCTGCCTACAGTCTCTCCAGCTTAATGACCGCACCACCCCATCCAGAAAAAGGCCATCGCCTCATCCTCAAAACCAGAACCACCCAACCCACAGCCCTAGTAGACAAACGCGAAAACCAAAAAAGGTTCTACTCCTACATGACTCCCAGATGAACAACTTTCTACCTGAGTCATTTTCCTCTGGGTTCAAGGTGGAAAAAATGAAAGTAGGCTCTTATACTGATATGATAAAAGACCACTGTATGAGAGATGTCATTAAACAGCCAGAGGTCGACTGTTACATTCTCCAGCTTGGAGTCAATGACTACAGATACAGAACCTGCTCTGTTAATAAAGCGATTGAGGATGCAAAATCAGTCATCGATAAACTCCTCTCGAGCTCCAGTGCAAAGGTTGTCATCTCCCTACCCACCCCAACCCCTGGATTAATCAGTGAACTTACCAACCAATTTGTCTCAGAAATAACCCAATTTGTCTCAGCTAAAAGAGGGTTAAGTGACTTTTACCGCCGCCTATATACTGTAAACAATACTGGAAACTTTTCCCGTGCCATCTCTGCTGCTGAGTTATCCCAAGACTCTCCTAACCCGTTGAAGGAGGACCAACTTCATGTCTCAGAGTATGGTTTGAAAAAACTTTGTTTGAATATTAAACTTGGCCTATACCGTGCCTTTGGTATGAGATCCCATAGAAAGCAGCCCCCTACAGAGCGTTAGATTAACCCTAAAATTTAAGAAAAAACAAGTATCACGAGATCAAGTCGCTGTGATGTCCTGGAACATCCAGGACAGCACAGGAGACGGGTCTAACAAATTTGAAAATAGCGAATTTTTGTCAATCCTCAAACAAGCTAACATTCTTTGTCTTCAAGAAACAAAGAAGCAAGTTAAGATTGAAGGATACCTCTCTTTTAATAGCAACCGCAAAAATTCACGCTCAGGAGGGGTCTGCATTCTTGCTGAAAATGACCTAAGAAAAGGTGTCTCTAGTGTGCTTTGTAATGAATCTGATGACATTATTGTTGTTAAACTGGACAAGAACTTTTTTAAACTTGATTTTGACCTATTTTTGGTATGTTATTATATTAGCCCTGCATACTCGTCCTATGTCAAGAAGAATCCAGATTATACTGCTAATACCTTCTCTGCTCTTGACTCTATCTGTATCAGACTACATCAAAAGGGAGAAGTTATTATGTGTGGCGATGCAAATGCAAGAACTGGAAAACTCCCAGACTATATCCTTTCCTGTAATGCACCTGCCATCCATGACATCTATAACGACATTGGACTCGAGCACGACATAGAAGAACCAAGAAACAATTCTGACCTTACAATATCTGAACCCCACTGCCAACACTTCCTTGACATGGTTATCAATAACCAACTCAAAATTCTTAATGGTCGTACCCTTGGGGACACCACTGGAAAAATGACCTGTCACAAATACAATGGAAGCAGTGTGGTTGACTATTTTGTAATCACCTCATGGGCAAGAGATCATGTAAACTCTCTCCAAGTAAAAGAGTTTACATCATACTCTGATCATTGTCCATTAGTCTTGAAACTCACTACATTTGAACCATTTGTCGCAAACTTCCAGCTCCCAGACTTTTCTAACTTTCCTTGTGGCTATAAGTGGGACAGCAACACCTCCCATTCACTATTTAAAAAAGCCCTTACCTCGCCCGAAATTATCAACAATCTGGAAAGCATTGTGACAAATGAATTTAGCAGTACTCTGGAGGGCAATCACGAACTGAACGATGCAGTCATAAAATGTCTCCACAGTGCTGCTGATATAGCCTTAAAAGTGAAAAAGCCTCCCAAAAATTCTGCCCGTAAAAAATGGTTCGACCCACAAGTCAACTCCTCGCGGCGGAACCTTAATAGGCTAGCAAATCGGCTTGGTAGTAAGCACTGTAACAGTATCCTCAGACTAGAATATTTTAAGCAACGCAACAAGCATAGCAATTTTGTAAACAGTAAGAAAGTATTTTTCCTTAAGAAGTTAAATGAAGCTATAGAAGAAGGTCACATACTCGACTGGAAAAAATTTAAACGGCTTAAACAAGAACATGACACTAGCCCCTTACTTGACAAATTTGATTTAGCTAGCTTCCATGACTTCTTTGCATCCCTTTATAAAAAACCAGACCAGGAGCCAGATCTCACTCACCACAATCACAAACATTACCCTGAACCACCAGATCTGGATATCCTAAATAAGCTCATGTCAGAATCTGAAGTGACCTCTGCCATCAAAAATCTCAAAAAAGGTAAAAGTTGCTCAAACGACTTGATATCCAACGAGATGCTTCAGAGCGTAACTCCGCTTTGTCTCAAAGCCATCCTCAAAAACTTCAACCACTCACTGGTCTCCGGTTACTATCCATGGCACACCAGCATCATTACTCCTATTTACAAGTCTGGCAACCCTTTCAACCCGGACAACTACAGAGCAATAGCTGTTGGTAGCTGTATGGGTAAACTGTTCTCTAGCATCTTACTTGAGCGTCTCCTGCACTTCAAAAAGCTCTACTGCCCTGACCCAAAAGAACAACTAGGGTTCTCGAAGGGTGCTCAAACAAATGACCACGTTTTTACCCTTAAGACAGTCATTGACAAATATACCAAGGTTAAAAAAGCTCGTCTCTATGCATGCTTTGTTGATCTAAGAAAGGCCTTTGACACTGTATGTAGGGACCTCCTTCTGCACAAAATCACATGCCTTGGAATAACTGGAAACTTCTTCAATTGCCTAAGTGATATGTATAGAAACTCAATAGCTCATATAAAAATCTCCAAACTCTTGTCCCCTAATATTGACATTGGAAAAGGAACAGAGCAGGGACACCCTCTATCACCGGACCTTTTTAAAATCTATATCAACGACTTGTCATCTCTCCTGAAATCTGTTGGTGATTATCCTATTCTAGCTGACGTCCTAATATCACATCTGCTCTGGGCTGACGATCTTGTCCTACTTGCCCTAAGTCCCAAGGCCTTGCAAGACAATATAAACATCCTATTCGACTTCTGTAACTCTATGGGCCTTGAAGTAAACATTAAAAAAACCAAGATTCTCATATTCTGCCCTCCTAAAAGAAAACAATCCTATGAAACATTCATTTTGGGAGGCCAGCCCATCCAACACACCGACAAATACTGCTATCTTGGCATTATATTCCACAGAAATGGATCTTTTACAGCAGCAAATACTGAACTGAGGGCCAAGGCTCTCCGTGCTCTCTATGGCCTCAAAGGCAATATCGTCAAAGATGCCCTCTCTCACCGTTCTCTAAACATTCTATTTGACTCTCTAATAAAACCGATACTGCTCTATGGCTGCCAAATCTTATGTCCCCACTCAAAAACCATGAGATACCTCTCCAAAACAGATAGCAAAGCCAACCCCAGCATACTCTCAGGTACATCTCACAAGACCACTATGAAAGATTCCACCTTAAGTTTATCAAGTGGTCCTTGTCTGTCCATTCAAAAGCATCAAATATAGGCTGCTGGGCGAAAGTGGGCGCCACCCCCTCTTCTTTGAAGCCTGCAAACTTGCAATAGATTTCTATACTCGCCTTGAAAGCACTGAAAATGAACTTCTCTCCGCTGCATTTCACGAGCAGATTATGCTGGGCCTTCCTTGGTACACCAACATCTCTAATCTTCTCACCAAATATAACTTCCCCCACTCATCCTCTTCAAAATCCAAGCTCTCTACCCAAATCAGTCACAACATGAGGGAAGAATTTGTGGATACCTGGAAATCTGCCAAGGCATCCTCACCTAAATTAGAATTCTACAATCAAATTAAACATGATTTTTAACCAGAAACATACTTAGGAGTGGTTAAGATCCCCGATGCTCGGAAAAGCTTAACAAGGTTTCGTATTAGCTGCCACAATCTTTACATTGAGAGGGGCCGTTACGAAACCCCCCTAGTACCAAGAGAACATCGATGGTGCACTTTTTGCTTTTTCAGCAAGGGGCTTAAGCCTATTGAGGACGAAATTCATGTTCTAACTGACTGTTTACTCTACTCCTCAGTTAGAGAAAAATTTAACTTCCATCCCAAAAATATTACTGACCTAGCCGGTTTGCTATCCGATAAAACACTAGACCCTACAAAATTTACTGCCACAGCAAGAGCAATCCATTCAATTCTCTCTGTGAACGAAAATTTTACAGCCTACTATAAGAGCCCAGATTTCCACTCAAATACTGGCCAATGCATAATGCTATAGGACCTCAAAAATAGTATTATATTAAACATTTCTATTTTATCCCTACACATCCGTAAATAACTAGAATTGTGTAACCTTAAATTATTTCAGAATTATAACTATTGTGAATTCAATAAAATAATTATCACTTTTGTATCCTTGTATCCTTGTATCCTTGTATCCTCGCAGTGAGGTATCTATTGATATCACAATGCCTACATTCAACAACTATGATCACGTGACAAAAGTGATTTGACCTGACCATATTTAAGTAGAAGATTTTACCCGTAAATGGCTAAAAAATGAGGTTAACCTCTCATTTTTAAAATATCTGACCAGTCAATTACATGTTAACCTCAAAAACTTAATCGTTACACTGTGCAAATGTTTTACTACATATATAATAACATATTGATAAACCAATCCCAGTGTTATATGGTCTATAGGGAGGTTAACAACCAAAGTCTTGGTTAACCTCATTTTTTACAATACGAGGACATCAACTACTGAAAGTGGCTAAAATAATTTAGGGAATGGCCAGGTCTAATCAAGCAAACGTTATTAAGTGTATACAAAGTCCTAACTAACGAACTGTGATACATTCCAGTGAATATTAAAAATTTTGAAAACACTAAATTGCATCTACTCAAAACACACTTTTTTGGCTTTCAATTCCTTAGTTGAGAAAACCAGTCACCCCCTGATATAAAGATTTGGTACAGTGGTTCCTTGGACAACTATCTAGATATCTGGTGCAGCGATTTTTTAAATTTGACTCGTTTCTCTAATTATGACGTTAACTAATTAAATTTTTCGAATTTTTGACGTGGTTAACCTCATAATTCGAGAACCGAGTCAAATAAAAAAAATCACGGCACCAGATTATATGAGGATAATTGTCCAAGAAACCACTGTACCAAACCTCAAGATCAGGGAGTGGCCGGTTTTCTTAACTAAGGAATCGAAAGGTCAAAAAAGTTATAACCGTTTAAGGGGGCCGGGGGTCTTCATCAAAATTCTCTCGAAATTGACTTTATAGTTGTTTCTGATAGAGGAGAGTGATATCTACCAGCTGCTTTTAGTCCCATGGAAAAATATTGTTCCTAGCCGAAATCATTGCCGGTCTAAGGTCAGCGCTTATGTGTAATTGTATTGCGCGAGCGATTTTCAATCGCGAGTTCTGAAAATCGAGTCTAAAAATCTATCTTCTGCCACATTTTTTGAGCAATCACCCTGAAACTTTTAGGATATGTTTTAGGGACCATTAAGAAGAGATACAAAATTTTCAGATAGGCCTCTAAACATTTTTTATTCAATTTTGAAAATCTTGGACCTCGTTTTTTTACGATTTTTTGAGGTCCAAGATTTTCAAAATTGAATACAAAATTTGTAAAGGCCTATCTCAAAATTTTGTATGAGCGATCTCTTCTAAATAGTCCTTAGAACATATCCTGAAAGTTTAAGGGTGATTGCTCAAAGAATGTAGGAGAAGATAGATTTTTAGACTCGATTTTCAGGGCGCGCAATTACAAATCACTCGCGCAATACAATTACACATAAGCGCTAACCTTTGACCGGCAATAATTTCGGCTAGGAACAATATTTTTCCATGGGACGAAAAACAGATGATAGATATCACTCCCCTCTATCAGAAACAACTATAAAGTCAATTTCGAGAGAATTTTGATAAAGACCCCCCTGGCCCCCTTAAAGATCCAGTTTAACATGTAATTACAGGTAAACCTCAAAATTTAGCGCACGATATCTCAGGAGCGCAAGGTCAGATTTTGATCTGTTTTTTTTCCTTCTTGTTCGTCTCCAGCAGCTATTATCAAATATGTGAAAACTAGAAAAGTGCCATTTACCCCCCCCCCCCCCCCGGCCCCCTCCCCCTCTGGCCTTAACTCTTTGCGACCAATTTTGAACCATTCTGAGCACTTTGAGGAGAATGTTAATTTTCGTTAATTTCCGTTCATTCCATGAACCTGGGTAATTTTATGCGACTTTTGATGGCTCCTAGGCTTAGCTTACGGCTATATCCATCTTAGAAAACAGAATTGAGGATTCCCAGCGCTCAAATACGGCCAATACTACGATGTCCCCATGTTCCAAATTTATGGATTCATCTACTACCTCGTTTAGCTACTCCAAAAACTAAATTCCTATTCAAATTATGGTTACTTAGCCATTATAGCGTTAATGTCCAAGGTGGAAAACTTCCTAATTTGATAACAACATTTTAGTTGTTCACACCAAATATCTGAATATCGAACAGTGCACAGATCTCTTGAACAGATTATTTTCCAGATAATATGGATGACAGGAAAGAGTTGTTGCTAGTACTGAGAGACAAGGTAAAACAGGTCAACCCAGACGTGATTATCAACTCGTTAGCTTCAATATCACTCATACTAACCATCTGCACCCCTACTGAACGAAGAAACGTCATACAGATGTAAGATATGACATGAATGAGAAACATTGTTATTATCATTTAGTGTAGGGTATTTCATGTAGGAGTACTTGAATGTGATCTTGCTATAATGATGTGATAAAGTGATGGACAATATTGTGCAGGTTGTTACCGACTGTTAGAGACCTATTGAAGAACAGTATTGTGGAGGTTAGAATTGAAGCTGGAGAAATGATCGCCCACATCTTCGAGCTGGGTCGTGACTACGACGAGGAATTTGATGATCAGGTCAGTTTTGGGCCTGGGAGGGGGCTCTGTGTGGGCCTGGGAGGGGGCTCTGTGTTGGCCTGGGAGGGGGCTCTGTGTGGGACTGTGAGGGGGCTCTGTGTGGGCTTGGGAGGGGGGCTCTGTGTGGGCTTGGGAGGGGGGCTCTGTGTGGGCCTGGGAGGGGGGCTCTGTGTGGGCCTGGGAGGGGGGCTCTGTGTGGGCATGGGAGGGGGCTCTGTGTGGGCCTGGGAGGGGGGCTCTAGCTGTGTGGGCTTGGGAGGGGGCTCTGTGTGGGCCTGGGAGGGGGGCTCTGTGTGGGCCTGGGAGGGGGCTCTGTGTGGGCCTGGGAGGGGGGCTCTGTGTGGGACTGGGAGGGGGCTCTGTGTGGGCCTGGGAGGGGGGCTCTGTGTGGGCCTGGGAGGGGGGCTCTGTGTGGGCCTGGGAGGGGGCTCTGTGTGGGCCTGGGAGGGGGGCTCTGTGTGGGACTGGGAGGGGGGCTCTGTGTGGGACTGGGAGGGGGCTCTGTGTGGGCCTGGGAGGGGGGCTCTGTGTGGGACTGGGAGGGGGCTCTGTGTGGGCCTGGGAGGGGGCTCTGTGTGGGCCTGGGAGGGGGGCTCTGTGTGGGCCTGGGAGGGGGCTCTGTGTGGGCCTGGGAGGGGGGCTCTGTGTGGGACTGGGAGGGGGCTCTGTGTGGGCCTGGGAGGGGGGCTCTGTGTGGGCCTGGGAGGGGGCTCTGTGTGGGCCTGGGAGGGGGCTCTCTGTGGGCCTGGGAGGGGGCTCTCTGTGGGCCTGGGAGGGGGGCTCTGTGTGGGCTTGGGAGGGGGGCTCTGCGTGGGCCTGGGAGGGGGGCTCTGTGTGGGCCTGGGAGGGGGCTCTGTGTGGGCCTGGGAGGGGGGTTCTGTGTGGGCCTGAGTGGGGGGCTCTGTGTGGGCCTGGGGAGAAACGCTAATGCTTGCTAATATTGTATGTATCTACTATCTACGATAGTATGGTTTACACTGTAGAATTAATCAAGCCAGCTAGTACACCGGCAACTAAGAAGCCTTACATTCTATACGCATATTCTGAATAAACGGGCGATAAAGTTTGACTAATAGTTTTTCCTCTGACCTTCATTTCAGACGAAGCCGCACAAATGTATGATGCCAGGTTAATTCCATGAAGGACGGGGAAAGGAGGGGCCACAACATGCTGTTCAGAGTCTAGTTATTCTTAGGCCTGTCTAATTTTAGGCATGTAGGCTGCAACATCCAGGCTGCAAGATTCTGCAGAAAAAACCCCGCTCACAATTAAATTCCTTTAATTTCAGGTTAAAGATTTACAGGACCTGTTGGACGATCTGGATAAGTTACAATCAGACGGGGCTAAGTTCAGAGCCAAACGGGACAGAAAGGTTCAGCGAGCGTCTTTCAGAGAGATATTCGCCTTTGTTAGTGAAGAAGGTACACTTAAATAGTTATTAAATGCAGTACAAGAAACGTCTAGATTTTGTAAAATGTGGCTCTAGGTGGCAGGTGGCGTTATTATTTTGATAATAAAGGCGGCTGAGTAACCCCTATGTCCTGCAGGGGAAGTTAACGAGCAAGTTAAGATCTCTCTGAGCGAGACTCTGACCCTGTGCTCCTGGTCAGAGAGGGTTCAGTACGGGGGTATAAAGGAAATCCTGGGGCCCGCCACCTCCCTCCACCTTCAGCAAAACATATTCGTCAGGGAAATATTTGGACTCGGAGCGGTTCCTCTGAGAATGGAGCCTGTCGCTAGGGGGGACAAGTTAGAAATGGTGAGTTATCTGGGAACTGGGGAAAGTAAGTTGGTGAAATGGTGAGTTATCTGGGAACTGGGGAAGTCGTTTGGTGAAATGGTGAGTTATCTGGGGACTGGGGAAGGTAAGTTGGTGAAATGGTGATTTATCTGGGAACTGGGGAAAGTAAGTTGGTCAGATGGTGAGTTATCTGGGGACTGGGGAAAGTAAGTTGGTGAAATGGTGAGTTATCTGGGAACTGGGGAAAGTAAGTTGGTGGAATGGTGAGTTATATGTGAAGTGGGAACTGGGGAAAGTAAGTTGGTGAAATGGTGAGTTATCTGGGAACTGAGGAAGTAAGTTGGTGAAATAGTGAGTTATCTGGGAACTGGGGAAAGTAAGTTGGTGAAATGGTGAGTTATCTGGGAACTGGGGAAAGTAAGTTGGTGAGATGGTGAGTTATCTGGGGGCTGGGGAAAGTAAGTTGGTGAAATGGTGAGTTATCTGGGAACTGGGGAGAGTAAGTTGGTGAAATGGTGAGTTATCTGGGAACTGGGGAAAGTAAGTTGGTGAGATGGTGAGTTATCTGGGGGGGGGGGGCTCTGTGTGGGCCTGGGAGGGGGCTCTGTGTGGGCCTGGGAGGGGGCTCTGTGTGGGACTGGGAGGGGGCTCTGTGTGGGCTTGGGAGGGGGGTCTGTGTTGGCCTGGGAGAGGGCTCTGTGTGGGCCTGGGAGGGGGGCTCTGTGCGGGCCTGGGGGGGGGGGGCTCTGTGTGGGCTTGGGGGGGGCTCTCTGTGGGCCTGGGAGGGGGGCTCTGTGTGGGCCTGGGAGGGGGCTCTGTGCGGGCCTGGGGGGGGGGGGCTCTGTGTTGGCCTGAGAGGGGGCTCTGTGTGGGCCTGGGAGGGGGGCTCTGTGTGGCTTGGGGGCTCTCTGTGGGCCTGGGAGGGGGGCTCTGTATGGGCCTGGGAGGGGGGCTCTGTGTGGGCCTGGGGAGAGACGCAATGCATGCTAATATTGTATGTATCTACGATAGTATGGTTTACACTGGGGAAAGTAAGTTGGTGAGATGGTGAGTTATCTGGGGGCTGGGGAAAGTAAGTTGGTGAAATGGTGAGTTATCTGGGAACTAGGGAAAGTAAGTTGGTGAAATGGTGAGTTATCTGGGGACTGGGGAAAGTAAGTTGGTGAGATGGTGAGTTATCTGGGAACTGGGGAAAGTAAGTTGGTGAAATGGTGAGTTATCTGGGGACTGGGGAAAGTAAGTTCGTGAAATAGTGAGTTATCTGGGGACTGGGGAAAGTAAGTTGGTGAAATGGTGAGTTATCTGGGGACTGGGGAAAGTAAGTAGGTGAAATGGTGAGTTATCTGGGAACTGGGGAGAGTAAGTTGGTGAAATGGTGAGTTATCTGGGGACTGGGGAAAGTAAGTTGGTGAAATGGTGAGTTATCTGGGAACTGGGGAGAGTAAGTTGGTGAAATATCCAATGTGGAGAGTTGAGATATTTGGGCACGGTCTGTTAAATCACTCTGTCAATGGCTGCTGCAGGGGAAATATATTTATGTAAATATTTATTGTAAGGGATCTGATATTACTAATGGTATGGTATCATCACCAGCAGAGAAACCCAAAAATACCAGTTCCAGCGATATTGATTATTGGGATGTTTTTCATCACGTTGGTCTGATCCTAAAATCACCATATAAGGGCACAATATTATAACATAAGAAAGTGAAAAGTTGATGTAAAGCTAAAGACCGTTATTTTCAGAAGAAGCTGAACGCCGCGTGTCACAAGGCTCGGCAGAAGAACATGCTAAAACAGCGAGACAAGAGGATGGTGTTGTGATGAGCGTATTATTTAGGGACACCTTTAGACTTCAATGTGAGGGATTAGCACCCGGGAATTTAGTGAACTGGGCCCGGCTCAGCAGATTATTATGAAAACTTCAGCATTTCCAAATATATCAGTTTTTTAGACATTTTCCAAAGCTAAGAAACATGAACACAGATACTGATGAATAAACTATTAAGTTGGGATCGTTTGTATATTAAATGAACCTCCAGGGGAGAGGTTGTTGAGAAAAAAGAGAAAAACGGACACTTTCTCATTTCTACAAAGAAAGGAGGATGGTGAATATGTGGATATTACTATCAGATGAAATATTATATCAAACAGAGAGTAAAGTTACATTTTTATCTCCATTTGATCGTTTTAGCTTCAATTTATCAAAGGACAATCTCTGTCTGTATTGAGACTGCCACTCGACCATAACTTAGATTTAATATAAGAGCCGGTACCTACATATGGGCCTAGTTTGTGATATATTTGTAGTTCATTATAAAGATTGTAGTAGGAATTCAGACCGGACTGTGGCTTCCTTGCAACTTCGAGAATTCGAGATGGGCTGGAAATTATTTTAGGAGTTTGAAGATTTTCGAAGCTCAATTTTCATCCAAAATATTTTACATTTTAACTAAAATTTAGCGACTGAAAGGCTGCTGGAGCCATTCTAACATCAGCATTAAATATAGCAATATATTCTTCAGAAATTCCAGAGTTTCAGTTATGTAAATCGTGTCAAATGCACGGTATTGTGCGAAGTATTTTTTGCAGCCAACCCTGCAAAGGCTGACCTTGATCACGTGACTCGAGACTGTTATTCACAGCGACAAGTTCGATGACATGTCACGTGGGCGTGCGCGCAGCACAGGATTGTGCGAAAGTCACGTGACCTCCAGAAAGCAAGGTCACGTGGCAGTTGGAGCTGACTTGTGGGTGCGTGAAATTCCTGGCTCTAGCACTTGATGATAACCTGTTATTAGCTGCGTAGTGTGTGGGGTGTCATAAAACTTTAAATGTACACTACTACACTTCATACAGCTGTGTGTGTCATTCCAACCCTCCCTGCTCTTACTCAAACAATCCGCCAACATACTTGCGAGAAATCTGCAGAATTATTGAAATTTGCATCCACAGTAAGATGTAGAACCCCGCCTACTGTTACATGAAGCAGACAGAAAGCTAAAAACAAAGCAACATGTTAAAGTGGGGCCGGTAATTAGAAGGTGGCTTGAAGAAGGAGCACTCAACACCACTGCTGTCAGCTATTGTTTCAACAGTTCCATGTGTCTTACTGACTAATTAGGTGCCCTGAACTCGGCCGGGAACTGGTACTTATATTAATAGCTCCTCTCCTCCTCCTCACAACTCTAGTTTAGCTTACACCGTCCTACCGCCTTTTCTAGATTAATTACGTTCTCTGTCGCGTATATTCCAGATTACTGTAACTCCAAACATGTTTCCGCACAAGGCCTGGCCACGAAACATTATTTTGAGTGCTATAAAGTAGCAGCTAGCTATAGAGTAGCAGCTAGCTATAAAGTAGCAGCTAGCTAATTGAGTGAGTAATTGAGCACCACCTCCCACCTTCGAGCAGCACTTTGTCACCTAAACTGGAGAAGCCACAGTCCGGTTACTAGTTAGAACTCCGTCTAGCTGAGACAATAAGTAATAACAAGACTCTTTGTAAAAGCGGTTAGTCTGTAGTGAACTGTTCTGTAGATGTAACTTAGTCTATTGTAGTTTCAATATTTATATGAAATATATCACTCTTATTTATTCCAATTTGTTCACAATTCCAAGTTAAATTATTTTCCTACTTTTTATTAACCTGTTGGTTGCTCTCAGTTTTCTCTTCGATGAAGCTTTAAAATTAAGCCTTAAAAAGTATTCAAAACTTACGCTGAAACTTTCTTATTATATAAACTTTGGGAGCAATCTGTTGGACGATTTCGAAAATAACGTGATATAAGAAAAGTGGAATTGAAGTATGCCCAATTAAAAATTAGTTATAATCAGTTATTGGCTTGTTTTATTTCAACTACAAACTGGGAAGTCACTGCGCAATGCCGTGGTGTCATCGTTTTATAGCATTGAGGAACAATATCTCCCAATTTAACATTAATTGGTCTTTAACGATTGAAAATTATGTATGGAAATCTTAAACTAAAAGCTATATTTCTGAATGATATATGAAACAAGTTGCCAAAATAGAAAGACTGAGCATTCAATTTCGGATGATGATTAATCACTCTACACTCGACTGTCACGTGACTTTTTAAACACGTTCTCTTGATGGCCGTAAATGACTAATCGAAATCCTAGTCCTCTTATCTGATCCCAACCCTAACCCTAATTCAATCTTTAACAAAAGCATATACTGAAACCATATACTATAACCTTAACGAGAAATTAGACCAACTTCCTTGTATGGTCATATCACGTGATCGAGACAGTTTTTCGCCAATATCTCGCTAGGGGAGCATTTTAACCCATGTCATGGGGGGTGATTCGGAATTTGGAATTAGCGTGCGAAAATACATCGATCCAAGTTAGTCTCAACTATCGGGGGCCCTTTTAGAAAAATCTCTAAGTCTAAGATCGACCGTAAAGTGATTTAGCACGCTCGTTCAATTTCAATTGAGGAAATATCAGGAATTGGCTACAGTGAGGAATTTTTAATACTTTAAGTAAAAGTCCACCTAGTCAAGCACATTAAATACCAATAATATGTTCCTGAGCACCTTCATATAATTATAAATATACCTGCACAGGCCGAGCTGGTGTAATGGTGTATCTATATGGTGGGAGGGGGGGGGGGGGGGCTGGAAAGCTGGTGTAATGGTGTATCTATATGGTGGGAGGGGGGGGGGGGGCTGGAAAGCTTGACACTGCGCAATGCTGTGGTGTCCGGTTCCCTTACTATACAATACGGAGCAAGGCTTGGAAAATGTTCATAAGTTGATATATTAACGTTTAACATTCTAGTCGTTGGAAACTTTTTTAAATGTCTTCTCACTTAATCAAAGAGCATCAATGAAACGCTGTACTTGACCACTGACCAGATTTCGATACCTTTAAGTTCTGAACAGTACACAGAAGGGGCCGAGTGTGACAATTTTGCACGAAGAGAGGGGTCTCAAATCGGCCAAAATCGACTACGTAATATATTTATATAATATAGATTATTTTTTAAAACATACTAATTATTTATTAAAACATATCACCCATAACTTACTCAACTTTGGTAGACCATAGACTTAATATGCAGGAATAGGGGCTTAATTTTAAAGTTGGTGCTTCGTCGTTGTCGAGATTGCCATTCAAAAGACTAAGTGCAATTACAAGTGCTCCTAAACAGAATGCTCTGTTGTCCTCTAAACTTGGTGTACTCGGGGTGTACTCACTCTAAACACACTTTCCTCTCTAAACATTGTGCCCTGACTTTAAAGGTATTTTCCTCTCTCTCCAAACATTGTGCTCTAATTTTTAAGGTGCTGCCCTCACTCTCCAAACATTGTACCCTGGCTTTAAAGGTACTAGCAGGAACCCGTCTAACCCTAAAGTGGTGTCAAGACTCAAGAGACTAAAATAATTATTACCTATTTAATTCGCGTTTTTGACACCATTTGGGGGTCCAAATTTTTTGGCACTAAAATTCTTATTCCTTGGCCAATCTTTAATTTTTTCATGCTGATTAAAGGCCATTAAAGCATTTGAACCAGTCAAAAAAGTTGAAGTTGTATATCTTTCTGCGGAAAGTCGTGCTAAAGTTGATGCCGTGGTGTCAGTAAAATCGTACGGAAAACATATATATATATATCGTCTCGCTTTATATAAGGTGTTGTCTTCTCTCTCCAAACATTGTGCCCAAATTTTTAAAGTGTTGCCTTCTCTCTCCAAACATTGTGCCCAAATTTTTAAAGTGTTGTCTTCTCTCTCCAAACATTGTGCCCTAAGTTTAAAGGTATTTTCCTAACTCTAAACATTGTGACCTAACTTTAAAGGTGTTGTCTTCTCTCCAAACATTGTGCCCTAATTTTTAAAGTGTTGTCTTCTCTCTCCAAACATTGTGCCCTAATTTTAAAGGTATTTTCCTAACTCTAAACATCGTACCCCAACTTTAAATGTGTTTTCCTAACTCTAAACATTGTGCCCTAATTTTGAAGGTGTTGTCTTCTCTCCAAACATTGTGCCTTAATTTTTAAAGAGTTGTCTTCTCTCTCCAAACATATGGCCCTAATTTGAAAGGTATTTTCCTAACTCTAAACATGGTGACCTAAATTTAAAGGTGTTGTCTTCTCTCCAAACATTGTGCCCTAATTTTAGAGGTGTTTTCCTAACTCTAAACAATGTAGCCTAACTTTTAAAGGTGTTTTCCTAACTCTAAACATTGTGCCCTAATTTTAAAGGTATTTTTCTAACTCTAAACATTGTGCATTAATTTTTAAAGTGTTGTCTTCTCTTTCTAAACATTGTGCCCTAATTTTAAAGGTGCTGTCATCACTCCAAACAATGTGCACTAACTTTTAAAGGTGTTTTTCTCTCTCTAAACATTGTGCACTAACTTTTGAAATATTGTCCTCACTGTAAACATTGTGCCCTATAAACTTTTAAAATGTTGTCCTCACTCTAAACATTGTGCACTAACTTTTAAAATGTTGTCCTTACCCTAAACATTGTGCTCTAACTATGAAAAAACATCTTCACTCCAAACATTGTGTCCCAACTTTGAAGGTGTTGTTCTCTCTCCAAAAATTGTGCCCTAACTTTTGAAATATGGTCTTCACTCTAAATATTGTGTCCTCAATCTCAGCATGGTGTCCTCATTCTCAACATATCACAGTATTTTTGCAGTTCCAATTTTGCAGAACTACCTGCTTATCCGTGTCTCTTTGAGACTTGCAAGGTTTCCTTGGCAACAAGGTTTCTGTGGCCCGTAAAGTCCCTGTGAAGTCCCGTGCCAAAGACTTAACATTTTATGTGACACTGTATTCTGTTGATGTTTAACCGGTGAGTGTGTCCTATGTTGAGTTTTGTAAGGCTTCTCCGTACAAGCAACCCTAACCAACATTTCAAAATGTTTTGGGAGTTTTTAAAGCTCGCTAGATTGGTTGTTAAAGATTAAAAACTATTTTAGAGTGGAAACATTTTGAGTGGTTATCGTGTTAAGCCTGGTTTCTGATAAAAGCGATAATATGGTATGTAAAGTTTGCCTGAACACTTCCATAATGACATTTAAAAATCATTGTTTAATTTTAGCTCTGTAGAATGAGCGGTCCAATAGCAGGAGGTGGGCATTATCACGTGACCAGGCAGGCAGCGCTGTTGGTTGGCTGATGTGTCAGTGGCGGTAGCTGCTAATCTAATTTGAGTGGTCGGGTTAGTCACGTGACAATGCAGCTCGGCTCTCATTGGGCTCTGATACAACCGAGTGGAAGCTTTCATCGCCCGGGTATCGTTGCCGGGCGCTTGTCAACAGCAAACGTCCTGAAAACGCACCTATGACACACCAAATTAAGCGGCCGTCTAGTTTTTAGACTTCCATTATTCTGGTCCCAGGTTTGTATTCGCTTGCTTTAATGCCTGCAGCTCATTTCCGAGTATCAGTAGTATAATCACACTATACTACTAGTGCGCATTTACTCCTGTATCACAATTTCTGTTTCATTTCGCAGAGCTCTCCTTACTACTACTACCCCACATTCCG